CTAGGAGTTTGAGATGTAGCATTAGGTCATTGATTTGAGATCTTTCTTTCCTTTTAATATATGCACTCATGGCTATATACATTCCTCTTAGAACTGCCTTTTCTTTGTCCCATAGGTTCTGGTAGGTGGTGTTTTCATTTCCATTAGCTTCTCGGAACCTTTTGATTTCCTCTCATGTTTCTTCTATGACCTTGAGCAATGTGTTATTCAGCCTCTAATTTTTGCGTATTTTCTGCTGTTGCTTTTGTTGTTGAATTGTAGTTTTAATGCATTGTGATCAAATAGAATGCAGGGGGTTATTTCTATTTTCTTATATTTGCTAAGGCTTGTTTTATGCCCTAAGATATGATCTGTTTTGGAGAAAGTTCCATGGGCTGCTGAGAAGAATGTATATTGTGCTGTTGTTGGAAGAAATATTCTGTAGCCATCAGTTAGGTCCATTTGGTCTATGGTATCATTTAGTTCTAGGATTTCTTAGTTGATTTTTTGTTTTCATGACCTATCTGTTGATGATAGAGGGGTATTCAAGTATCCCACTACCACTGTGTTGGAATCTGTATGTGCTTTTATGTCATTTAGTGTATGTTTGATGAAATTGGGTGCACTGACATTGATAGATTGATAATTGTTACTTCCTCTTGATGTATTGCCCCTTTTATTAGTAGGAAGTGTCCTTCTTTATCTCATTTGACCAATGTAGGTTTGAAGTCTACTTTGTCTGATATAGATATTGCTACTCCTGCCTCTTTTTGGAGGCCATTATCATGGTAATCTTCTTCCAGCCTTTTACCCTAAGCCAGTGTATCTCTTGTAAACAACAGAATGTTGACCTTCCTTTTTAATCCAGTTTGCCAAATGGTGTCTTTTGATGGGGGAGTTGAGTCCATTGACATTCAGTATTAATATTGATAAGTATGTGCTGATTCCTGCCATTTGGTTGGTTTTGTTCTTTAAGGATTTGATTGCGTGCAGTTGAATCAATGCTAGTTTCTAATTACTTGTTTTTTTCTTCACCTGTGGTTTGATACTTCCTGTCCTCTTGTGGTTTTGTTTGCTTTCATCTTCTGTGTGCAGAATTCCTTGTAGTCTTCTGAAGTGGTAGCTTGGTGGTCATATATTGTTTTAATTTCTGTTTATTATGGGAGATTTTTATTGCTCCATCAATTTTGAATGATAGTTTTGCTGGGTAGATTATCCTAGGGCTAAAATTATTTTCATTCAGTATCTGAAATACCTCACTCCATGCCCTTCTTTCTTTTAGGGTTTTTGTTGAGAAATATGCTGTTATTTTTATGAGTTTACCTTCATACATTATTTGTTTTTTCTCTCTTCCAGCCTTCAGTATTCTTTCTGTGTTCTCTGTGCTTGGTGTTTTAATGATAATGTGCCAAAGGGAGGTTCTATTTTGGTCAAGTCTGTTTGGTGTTCCGGAGGCTTCCTGTACCTGAATGGGCAAAACTTTCTTGAGATTTGGGAATTTTTCTTGTATTATTTTATTGAATGTATTACATATCCCTTCGGCTTGCACCTCTTCTCCTTCTTCAGTGCCCATGATTCTCAGGTTTGGTATTTTGATGGAGTCACTGAGGTCTTCCATATTCCTTTCATGGCTCTTGAGTTGTTTAAAAATTCTTGTGTTTTTTGTTCAATTTCTATTTTATCTTTGAATTCTGAGATTCTGTCTTCCACTTGTTCTAATCTGCTGGAGTGGCCTTCCACTCTGTGTTTTGTTTGACTAAAAGGACTTTTTATTTCCAGGATTTCTGTTTCTTTTTTCTGAGATTTTTCATATCTTTGTTCAACTCCTCTTTTATCTTTTGTGTTGTCATCTTTAATTCATATATCTCTCCTTTTATAAGTGTCCTTTGTTTCACTTTGGTGTTTGTTGAAGTCCTCTCTGAGTTTCCTTATTTGTTTCCATGTGTTCTCACGTTCTTTATTTTTGGTGTTTTGAAATTTCTTGAGTGCATCTTGTACATTCTTGTTAACCATGTCTGGTATCTTCTTCATGAATTTCTGAATGATGTCTTTCATAATTTCTTCTTTGAGGGTTTTTATGTTGGTGTCACTGGGCTCCTTAGTGACATTTATTCATTATTTTATTGAGGTCAAGAAATGGGTATCTATTTTCTTCATTTCTCACTGAATCCTGTATTGAATTGTTTTTTGGAGGAGAATAGTGTCTATCCCTTCTTCTTCTTCCCATCACTCCACTTGGTGCTGTGCAACTATGTTCTTGATAGGCTAGTTGGTGGTTTCTTTCCCTTGATTTAATTTTTGTGTTGTGACTGACTTGTTTGTTAGCTAGGTTGATGTGGTCTTTCTGTCCCTGGCCTAGAGCTGTAATATAGCAATAGCACATTCACAGTTTCAATGCCAGACCAGTTGTTTATATATTATATAGAAAATCCCTTGATGATGATAATATGTATAAACAGTGGTAGTTGGGACAGATGATGGTTATTAGATGATGGTTACAGATTTTGGGGTATTGGTTAAAGGTAGTACTAAAAAGGGGATGAGAAGAGGGGGGTGAGTCGGGGAAAAGGTATGGGAGCTGCTGCATTTTGTGGCCATTGTGTGTGCTTGGATGTATTTCTGTTGTTTTATTGGAGGATGCTTATGTCAGGGATTGCAGAGGGCTAGGGTTGTGTATAGTTGCTACAGTATGTTAGCCAGTGGGTGTTAAGTGTGTAGGAGGGAGGGGTACTGTGACAGGTTGGGGGAGGATAGGAGGTGGAGGTGATGATGGGGGAAAGAGTGGATGAGAAGGGGCATGAAGAGTAGTTGGGAGAGAAAACAATGGATTGTAGCACAGAAGAAGGAGGGAAGTGAAGAGGGTAAGCATAGGGTAAGAGAATAGTGATCTCAAAAAAGACATTTAAAAACGGGTTGATGAAGTGGCTCAAGGTGTAGCACCAATACTCAAAAAGAAGAAGGAAGGGGCAGGGGGAGGAGGAGAAGGAGAAAACATATTATTGTATCATCACCTAGCTTTGCTAATGATTTTTATCAAATGCCTTATATATCACCTCTTTGCGGTAAGAGACATTTTTTAATTCATCAGCTGTGTACACCATAGTTTCCTTTACACTGGCTATGTAATTAAATAAGGCTTTCTTATTAACAATTGTAGAAAAATTAAATAGTTGCAACAATTTTGTTAAACTTTGAAACTTTTCCCTTTCCTTGAAAAGTTTCAAAAACATTCATTTTTATATGCTATTTCCAAATATTTTCTTAATTTGAAGATTGAAAGATTTGATATTTTATACAGAAAAATGATAGTTTGGTCATTTTCAATATTCTCTTTTGAAATAGATTAGACTCCTTTGTTTTAGAATTCAGCTTAATTAAAGGACAAATTTGCATTAGATGACCTTTTTTCAACTTCTACTTGAGCTTACTTGAGCTTGTTCTTTCCTCTGTATTTTTCACTCCATTCCTTTTTCTAATAATGCAACAATCCATCTAAAGAAAAAATATGTATTAGTTTGTGAGATTGTAAATGTTGAAATTGTTAACCAGCTTTTAAAATGACACATTTTGTGTAACAGTGGATCATTATATCTCCTATCCATAAGAGTACTGTCAGGGGAAGACCTCTTTGAAGTACTTGTACACAGTAAACAGCTATGGAAGTATTTTCACCTGTTATACAACTTTGTTTCTGGTTTGTTCATTTTCTTAGCTGTCTATCTTTAGCTAATAAGCATACAGCAAGCTGGCATTCTTACTGTCCTTCTTCAATTGTGCTATGGTTATTTAATCAATGCAAAATAATTTAGCCCTTATTGGAGAAATTCCACTTCTGTTAATACATCCTAAAACTACATCAACTTTTTCATTGTCCTTATCCATATGCTTATTGATTGATTCAGCAAATACTTATGAAGTTTCAGTTCTGTGTCAGACCCTGAGCTAGATGTTAGGTTTCAAGTTTCTGCCTCTTAGAATACATAGATTGTTGATATAAACTGAACTGAACTGTGAAAGAACTTTCAAATCTGTATTATTATTCATATCATTTTCTCTTCCTGTATAAAACTGCCACCCCATATCGTTAAGCCCTCTCTACCTCTCCTTCAAGGTATAATTCAAATACAATTTCTTTTAAGATGTTAGATCTGTGGTTCCCAAGCTTTTCTGCACACCAAAATCATTTAGAGAAAATTGTTAAAAATATATTTCTGGGCCTTAACGCCACATGATCTAATATATTATATTCAATTTGCTGCTTCTGACATAGTCAATGTGTCTTTGTTGGAAGATTCCATAATCTTTCTCGACTCATAAATTTCCCATAACACTTATTTTATATAAGAATAATTTGATCACAGCAATAGCAAAAATATTAACAATTTACTTCAGTATTTCATAGTTTAAAAGATATTTTCACATACATTATCATATTTTCTTAGCATTTATGTGAATTATGTAATCAGATATTTGTTATCTCCATTTTATAAATGTGGAAATATTAGACAGAGAGAATCATTTGTTTAGTTCACTTAAGTCAAAGCTAGAATTTGAATCTTAGCTCTTGGAAAGACATTGATTGTTCATGCCTTTATCTTTTAATGGGTTTAATACCTCTCTCCTCAACTGATATTTATGATCACTTAAATTATTTTGTCCCAATCTGTCATTACACCTAGAATACTAAGGGAACATCTTACGTACAAACACACAATAAATATTTATTAATTTAATACATAATGTACTGAAATAAAGAACTCTATAAATTTCTTTGGCTACATAAATAATATGATCATTTTAGTAGTATTTGAACCTAACTAAATGTTTTTCCTTTCATCATTGGATGTTCCCTACATGTATTACCTGGAGTCTGAGATTATTTTCTAAGTTCAATTCTAAGTAAGAAAGTATAATTTATTTTTTAAATAATGACCATATTCTTATATTTTAATTTGTTTTAGAAATGTACAGTATAAACTGTTTTTACAGGTACAGTCTTATGCCACATATTTCTGTTCTAGGGATACCTGCTTCACTTAGCTGGTGCTGGAATGCAGATGATGCTGTGGCATTTGTTTCCCACAGAGGTCCGCTATTCATTTGGACCATCTCAGGACCAGATAATGGAGTGACTGTACACAAAGAAGCTCAGAACTTCCTGTCTGATATCTGTATATTCAGATGGCATACCCAAAAAAAGGGAAAAGTTGTGTTTGGTCATATTGATGGAAGTCTATCAATTTTTCAGCCAGGTAAGAATTTAATTACCTGGTCTCTGAAATTTTATTTTTCTTATTTATATACATGAATTAGTCTCCTTTCTGATACTATAACAAATACCTGATATAATCAACTTAAAAAGAGGAAAGGTTTATCACATTCTGAGAGGTTTTAGTCTAAGACTAATTTGGCTGCATTGCTTTGGGTCTGTGGTGGTATAGAAGTACATGGTAGCAGGACACATGGTAGGGGCGATGTGTTCACTTCATGACTGAGTGTAAAAGAGGAATGAAGAAGCACCCAGAGTCCCATTATCCCCTTCAAGGTCATTCTCCCAATGACCTAAAATCTCCGATTAGAATCTGTGTTTTTTTTTTTTTTTTTTTTGATGGAACGGGGATTTGAACTTCGTGCTTGCAAAGCAGGAGCTCTACTGTTTGAGTGACACTTCCATTCCATTTAGATATGGGGTCTTGCAAACTATTTGCCTGGGCTGGCCTCAAACCACCATTCTCCCAGTCTCAGGCTCCCAAGTTGCTAAGATTACAGTTGTGAGCCACTAGTGCCTGTCAGGACCTACCTTGTAAAGGTTTTGTCACCTTCCAATAGTACCATGATCTGGGCACTAGGCTTTTAACACAGGGGCTTTCAGGAGACATTCCATGTCCAAACTATACCAGTACATAAACTCAAAGTAATAAAATCTTAATTTTAAAATAATAGTTGTAAAAATGTTGTTCAGTATTATACTGATACCAGATGCTCATTTGAAGTAAATTTTATTTATGGGCATTGTAGTACATTCAACTCAGGCATTCAGATCTTTCTTTCAATTAACTCAAATCAGTCATTTATTCCATATTTATAATTTTGGAGTCAGTTCTTCATATCTTCCCATTTTCAGGGAAATATCCTGCGAGAACAAGGACGTAAAGGTAGAAGATATGATGGCCTACTAATATTGCTCCAAAATATTTTCTCACCTCATGAAAATACTATTTTGATAGCATGGCTCCCTACACAGGCCTTAAACCTCACATAAAAAGGAACAGTAACTCTTTGAACCCTATCAGTTAATTAATTTGGCTGAATGAAAGGGTTTAATTATTAGCTTATATTTATTTTTAAATTTTAGGTAACAACAAAACATATGATTTAAAAAATTAAAAATCACCTGAATTGTTATCCCTTCATAAGTATTACTAACTTTAAACATCTTTTCAGTCTTCTGGCCTCTCTGTTGGTATATGTGATGACTGACTGGCTAGATTGATAGATAAAAGTGTTTCAACAGGGACAGGATGATTATTTGTTGCAAAACAAATTACATTCAATTTTTCTGTGGTTAGTAGAAGAAAAAAATGAAACTGAACAGAAAAAATGTGAAACTTTAAACAAATCTTTCTTAGGAATAATCTTTATTAAATTCAAAAAAGAATTATGCAAAACATTGATATGCTGCCATTTATCTTAAATGTATTTTGAACAAGCTTTATTATTTTTGCCTTTTTAAAGAAAGATAAAAACATATACTGGAGATTGAACCCAGTACCTTACACATACTAGGCAAGCACTGTACCACTAATGCTATAGCCTCAGCCCTTTTATGTTTTTTCTTCCTTGTTTTATGAGACAGGGCCTTGCTGCTGCTACCTTTGCTTAGGCTGGCCTTGAACTCACAATCTTCCTGCTCTGGAGTAGCTAGAATTTCAGGCATGTGCCACCATGCCCAGCTGCACATGCCTGGCTACATATAAACTACACATGTACTACTGTTTACCTCTGCTCTTTGTACATAGCCAGGTTTTGCTAGTTTAGCATGGAGACAGTGTCTTCTAGTTGGAGATTAGAATGAGGAGGGATCAATGACTTGCCTCATTTAAATTTGTTGTTTCAAACACCTCTCATTTTTTCTGTTAAGTCTTCTATATTGGGAGCAGATTCTGTTTTCACTTAAGGCTCATAGTTAAGCACCAGAACTCACAGAAGTTCTCTCTTTTGCTCAGGTGAGTATCATTTCTTCTGTACTTTTCATCTCTGGAACTGTTCCTTAGTTTCAGGAGGTAAACTTATGGACAGTAAAAATGGCTGTGTGCAGCGTGGTTGTTCCTCTTTCTTCTGTGCTCTCTGGTTTATTTAACCAGATCTCATTAGGGATATATCCTACTTATCCACTTGCCTGAAAGCACAGATATTATCAGAATTGAGACACTTCCTTTTCAAGGAATTTGTGTCGCTAAAATATGAAGAGGAGTATGAGAAATTTGCTTTTATTTGGTTTAAATTTCATTCTCTGTATGTTTACTATCTTGTGATTTGTCATTGCGATGATTTCCTTTTTCTTGATTAGGGCTTTCTTTTTTCTTCCTTTATTATTATCACTAGGCAGCCTTGAAGATATAAAGTCATATGATATTGGGACATTGTACTGTCTAAGATATAAAGCTTTGAGGCATTATATGCTTATTTTGGCATAGAAAAGAGAGGAAAGAATAAAGTCATCTTTTGCTTTTATGTATCCTGAGTGTATATCATGATAACAAATACAATATTTGAGCAGTCTGAGTTATATGGCTTCCAAAGAGGCCATTGTTTTCTAATAGTTCAGTATTCTACATATTAAATAAAAGTAATTTATACATCTGTACCTAAGTTGAGTGGTTTTTTTTTCTTGATCCATAGTCTACTGAACCTAAAATGAACCCAAATGAACCCAAAATTTGATAGGTTAGAACTACAGAAACTGAATTGTTTCACAGTTTTTGAGACCAGTAGTATGAAATAAGGTTTTGACAGGACCCTGATTTCTGTGAAGCGTGCTTTCACTTAAGGCAATAAAGATTATTCAAGGCCTTCTCATAGTTCCTTGATTATTGGCAGCATTACTATAGTCTTTACATGGTTTTGCCCTCAAAATATGATTGTGTTTTATTCAAACCTTTGTTTTTTTATGATGACACAATCATATTGGATTAGGTCCATCCTAAGGATATCATCTTAAGTTGGACCTGTACAAAAACCTTTTTCCAAAAAATTTTACATTCATAGGTTCTGGGAAGTTAGGACTTCAACACCTTTTTTGCTGTTGTTGCTGTGGAGATGGTGACACAATTCAATCCATAATAACCCAATACAGCCTTCATTTATTATATAGAATTTATTTAGCAATTAATATATGCAAAGCGTTATGAAAGACATAACCCACTAGATATTTTCACTTTGCATAGACATGAATTAATGAAAAGAAATCCTACTTTTTAATTCTGACACTACATTCTGAATTATGAGTTTGAAACTTTGCAACTGGTAGCATTAACACAGATACTTAGAGGGATGAATATGATCAAAGTGCATAATATGTACTTGTGGAAATGTCATAAAGAAGCTTATTGGGAGAAAAAATTACTAATGGAGTACTGCCCATAATAATGCAATTTATCTGTCATTTAAAATATGTGATTTCTAAACTGTGCTTTGTATGTATCTATGTATGTACATTCATGTGGTGTGTGTGTGTGTGTGATGGAGATAAAGGGAGACCCATCAGAACATTAAGCTTTTTGCCCCTTTCAGCCTAGAAAACACCACTTTATTCTCTACTTTATGTTGTATTTTCATGTAAAAATTCTTGTATGAACAGAATTCCAGGGCCAAAAAAAGTTAGAAACTACTTCAACTGTTTGAATTTGTATTCTTAGTACAAGTTCAGCAAATAACTTTTCTTTTTCAGTATTCATTATAGAAATGTCTAAGTTGCATTGACTTTGGTCAGTCATTTACTATCCCATGAATATACATTGGTCAAATTTACATTTTTTACTTTAGAAATGTTGCTGATGACATTGTCCCTATGTAACACTGTGCCTTTTAAAAGCACACAGAAGATGTTTATTTCTAATCTCAATTCTAGGAAAAGTTTTGCTTCTCCTGAGTACATTTTTGTTTGTTTGTTTTTATCCTAAAGACATTGTTAATTGTATAACCTTTCATGATTTCTTTCCTGTTTCTTTAACCACCTAATCTCAAAACCAGTGTGCTAAACTGTGTGATTATACATCACCTTCAAATTTTTCGACCCCCATTTTTTGACCTATTTATTTTAAAATGCAGAAGTTGCTAACCTCATTATTTTATTGATTGACTGATACATGCTTCTGTCATTATCTGACAACACAATTTGCCTGATCTTGTAAAATAAAATAGAGCATTAGTAATAGCATATAAATATGAATTGTTCTGCTGATGGACCAGTTATAAAAATTTATAGATTCATTTTTCTATCTTTTACAATAAAAATGTCAGGATACCAGATAGAAAATAAAGTAATGAATATAACTTATTCTATTTTTAACTACATTAGCACAGGGTTTTGAAGCAATATGATTTAGATATTACAGCATTACCATTTCAAATCTTCTATTTTATGTTGCTGTTCTGATGATTTTTTTTACATGCTGGAATATTTTTCATAAATCATAAGCACTGACTATTAAGGCAGATACCAAAAATTGCTTAAGAAACAGCTAATAATGGTTTGCCTCTTTCAATCTTACAATGATCGGCTATATTAAGTTATGTCACTTTATTATATCAAATAGCAATTTAGCAGATGCTTATTTTCAGTATAAAAAAAACAAACTTTTCTTAATGGTTATATGCAAAATTTTGATAAGGCCAACTAAATGGATTCTCACATCCATCTTCTGTTATGATTAAAAATGCAGAAGTTTTAAGTAAAATTTGAGGTCAACATTGTATCAAAAGAATAACATATCCTGATATTCAATCCCAAACTAGAAACCTTCAGATTTTCAATTCACTTTACAAATAGCTTTATATATCAGTGGGGAAACTAGTATTTTCCTGCTTTTGTGATCTGATACATTGTGTTATCTTTCAATTGTGTGTGTTTGATAAATACTTCTTCTAAAATTCATAATACTTTGGACTACTTGGCACTTTATGTTGATGTTGAAATCTCTAACTTTAGTTGTTCACTGCCTTTTTTTGTGTGTGGTATGGGTTATTTTTTCAGGTAGGATCTCAGATTTTATTTTGCCCAAGACTCTTGTGCATCTGGAACCACAGACATCACCATGCTTGGCTTATTGATTGAGATGAGATCTCACTAACTTTTTGCCTGGACTGACCTCCAGCCACATCCCCCCAACTATGGTTGCTTCCTAAATAGCTGAGATTATACTCATGAGCCATTGTGCCTGGCCAACTACCTTTCTTTTAAGAATGAGAGGACTCACTCAGTGGAATTCTTACGCAGTTCATCAGTAAAAACTTTTCTTCCATATTGCCAGATGTGTATACAATTTACAAAAACAAGAGGGTCATTTGATGATTCTTTTTTGTATTTAATTATACTTGTTTTATCTGTATTTTAGCTTTCCTGTTTTTATTAGTAGTCAGCTATGAACTATGACAAATGAAGTGATGAGTGCAAAAGACCTTATAGTACATGCTGATATAAATTTATAACATATCCAATTGTTCTAAGCACTTTAATCAGCTAACTCATTTAATCTTTTCAGAAGCTCTGTGAGGTAAGTATTATGTCCTCTCTTACAAAAATACAGAAATTTAAGCAAACAGTAGCTAATCCAAGAACACAAAGCTAGTCAGTGATGGAAGTATGATTTGGACCTGGGCAACCAGCTCCAAAGTCAAGCTACTCTCTGATATTCTTTTTTGATAAGCACCTCCCTATTTCTGTGCTATCCTAAGTGAAATTTATTGTTAATAAGATCAAGTGTATTATTTTTCTGTGTTTTTCTTACATGTTTTTGCTAACAGAGAAACAATGAAAGCACTAGACATTGCCCAAGCAAAGCACTTCGGTCTTTCATCATCATGACAAATTAACTCCCCTGCATTCATTCACATGCTAATTATGTCTTCTGTGTAAAAATTCCACATTTAGATTCTCAGGACTCTCAGAGATTGCTGATATACAAGGAGAAAAATAATATCTAAATCACTGATCTTTTTGTGACTTTTTAAATATAATTTTCTTTATTTTTGAATAGGTAATAAAAATCAGAAACATGTTTTGAGACCTGAGTCTCTTGAAGGAACAGATGAAGAGGATCCAATTACAGCCCTGGAATGGGACCCACTGTCTACCGATTATCTTCTTGTGGCTAATTTGCATTATGGAATTCGCCTAGTAGATTCTGAATCACTTTATTGCATAACAACATTTAATTTTCCGAGTGCAGCAGCTTCTGTACAGTGCTTAGCTTGGGTTCCCAGTGCTCCTGGCATGTTTATAACTGGAGGTAAACTTGCTCTTCTTCCCCAGAGTTTGACATATATGTATATTCTTTAATTGAATTAGGGAAATTACTGTCTTTTGTTGATTACTTTTGTGTAAAACCTATTAATGTCTTAGCACTATCATTTTTTATAGTAAATACCTAATTTATTTATATGGCATATAATTAACATAATTACAAATGATAATGCAATTAAAGCCCCATGTTCCAGATTTCTGGAACTACTTTGCAAAATACTGTGTATGTGCACAAGTATATCTGTGTTCGTGTGTGCACAGAAGACAAAGTTCAATTTCAAGTAAGGCAAGATGACGATAGAGGTAATAAATGTCCCAGTAAAACAATTTGTCTGGATAGGAACCCTGTGACTTTGCTAATAATTTTGACAGTTCATGGCAACTAAGTAGGCCCAAATATTTTCAACCTAAGTCAGAAATGAAAGTAGAATTTATTTCTGTGGTTTAAAATGATGCTTGCTTCTTTATGGTTTTCTAATCATGAGAGAAGTACCAAAAGTGAGTAGTGATGAAGGATAGGAACATGGAGAATTTAGAGATAGTCATTAGAATTCATGAGGTTCTGCTTTTACTTAGGTTCTGAGAAGGGCTTCTGAAGAGAGGCAGACTGCTTGATCTGCTGTTTAAATGCTGCCTGCATTTGCTCAGTGTAAAATAAATAGTAAATATTCTTTATCCTCCCAACATTTTTAAAGGAATTTTTTTCTTCTTTTTTTTTGATAATTAAAACACCATTTTATACCTAAGCAGACCAATATTTTAACAGAAGGAGCCATCACCTGTTTCCTTTGTTTTTCAGACATTTTTCCATCATAACTTTCTCCAAATTCTGCATATCAGCAGCATTTCCAAAGTATTTCATGATACTCCAGCACTTTTCCATTTTTTTTGCTTATTTTTTTCTTTCTTTTATTTTATCATTTTCACATTTACTTACATGTATATACATTGTTTGTGCTCCCGTCCCCTCCTCTCAGCCTCCCTCCCCTGCTTCTGGAGAACATCATCTTAAGCAAAGTTAGACAGGCTCAGAAGCCAAAAATCACATGTTCTCCCTCATATAGATTTTAGGATTATAGACCTAAAAGAATTGCAGTAATTTTATTGGACATGGGTCACAGACAAAGGGGAGAAAACACATGGGAGGAATAGGAAAAGGGAAGGAAATCTAAAATTTGAATGTGGTTGATGTGTGAATATTACTGTATTCACTGTAAAGGAGTGAATATAGTAATCTTAAACTGTCAGAGGCCACTATGGGAAGGGGACCGGGAAGTAGTGAAGAGGTCTGAAAGAGATGAACCAATGTGGTTTGCAATAACACAAGTGCATGGAGGCAACGCTAGGAATCTCTCTGTATAGTTTTCCTTATCCCAAACTAGCAAAAACACTATGTCTTTCTTATTATGTCCTATGTTTTCTCTTCAACAAAATCAGAAAATGTTTTCTTTTTTGATAATTTATATTTGGAAGTAGGCAGGTTATTAATTTACCTTAAATGCCTTTAATTTCACAGGATTCAATGAAAACGTAGGCATGGAAGTTTTCAAATACATCTACTATTGAGATGAATCATAAAGTACACCATTTTTAAAGGATATATAGTTCAGTGGTTTCCATCATGTTCACAAATTATCTAATCACCATCACCATTATCTAATTCCAGAACATTCCATAATTCCCTAACAAACCCTGTACCCATTTAGAACCACATTACATTCTTTTTCCTCAGCCCTTGGCACACACATGGACATACACAACTACTAATCTACTTGTTATATGTGGGTTCACCAACTCTTGACATTTCACATAAATAGAGTCATTTCACATGTAGCCTTTTGTTTCTTGCTTCTTTCACTTAACAAAAAGCTTTTAAGTTTTTTCTGTGTTATAGCTTATATTAGTTACTACATTCCTTTTTTATGGCTGAATGATATTCTGTTATGTGGATTATCATTCATAGATATATGCTATTATGAAAATGTGATAAGCATTTTTGCACAAATTTTTGTGCAGACATGCTTGTAATTCTGTTGCGTAAATACATAGGAGTGGAATTTCTGAGTCATATGATATCTGTGTTTGGTTGATTGAGGAATTACAAACTATTTTCCAAAGCAGCTAGTAAGGTGGGATTTGGGGATGGAAAGGGACTAATTGTTCTTCAGGCATATTTACAGTCTTTATTTGGCCAAAAGTGAACAGCAGATCCTTATGGTGTGGGGGTGAGCTGCTAAGGCAGGCAGTTTCTAAGGTATGAAAATGTTTGCTATGAACAAAATAATAAATCATGCCAAAAATTTTAAAATTGAATAGCCTTTCAGCAGTTTCTTTGGTTTTATCACATACTGATCAAAGAATGCTAATAATTAGTGTTCTAATTCATAGAAGTTGAAGTCTTTGTTGTTCTTTTATGTCTAGGCATTTTAGTTTCAAAACAAATTGTTAACATTTGATTTTTTTGATGACCTAATTAGATTCTCAAGTGGGTGTTTTACGCATTTGGAATGTTTCAAGAACAACACCTATTGATAATTTTAAATTAAAGAAAACAGGATTTCACTGCTTACATGTACTTAATTCCCCTCCAAGGAAAAAATGTAAGTAAAAATATAAAAATTTTAATATCTTAAAATATCATATTTTCTGTCAAATAAAATTGTATATGGTAATATAAATGTATTAAATATGAGATGCTACTTAAAAGCAAATTTTCAGATATAGTTTTGGCAATACATATGCTAAAGGGACCTTAAATGCCACACAATAAATAATAATACTCATTTTAAAGTACTTAGAGTCAACTTATATTTGTAAAATTCTATTAAATGAGGATATTCAAATAATAATAGATTATCTCTGTGAGGAAGATGAAACTGTGATATTATAGAAAATAAATTGGAATTACCAAGAGTAATGAGATTGAATAAAATTGATCTGACTAAAAGAATCTGTTTTAAACATGGCTAATTTATAATCTATAGTTTCTAACAAACTTAAAATAATCTAAATATTCAAATTGTAGGATCTAGAAATATACTTTGAATCTGAATACCAGTTATCACTGGATTAGTAGAATTATGGGCATTCTATGTCCTGTTCATCTTTTTGTGTGTATTGTTTCTGATTATCATTAATTGTTTCTGTAATTAAGAAAAAATAAAGCCCTTAAGCTATAAATGAAAAAAATCTGAAACATTAGAATTTTTATTAAAGGTAAAGGATAACAAATTTACTTCCTGTAAGGCCTACCATAATTACTCTGCATGGCTGGTCCTGTTCCCATTTTGTGTAGACAAAGAAAAGAATGTGGGGTAGGAATTTTAGTGATTAAAAAATCAGAATGGACCTTGCCTAAATTTAAGCATTTCTGTGGAGTCTCAACACTACTAGAGCTCAGAAATTAAGGGTGTAAAATAAAATGCTACAGGGGGCATTCTGTTTGTATATACAGCACATTTCCTATAAGTTTAGTTTCTTTGCATAGTGGCTGTGAACATCCATATCATGGTATGGCTGAGTCATGACAAATTGTTTCTTTCATGTTTGCTCATATTTAAAAAGTAGTCCATATCCATTAGAGAAAAATCAGAAAATGTAAAGAAGCATATATCAATCTTGTCATTTTGAGTAATTCCTTTTAAACACCTATTATTTAGATTTCTGGGGTTTTTTTCCTAAAAATTTTCAAATGTAAGATTATCAAATAAGAACAACTATGAAAATGAAATTTTAAAATGAAGGTATATGCACTGATTCTAAAAATCATAAACTATAATAGATTGACATATAAAGAGAGTCAAGAACACTTAAGAGCTGGGTATGGTAAAGCATGTCTGTAAATCTAGCTTGTCTGGAGACAGAGGCAAGAGGATTGTGGGTTAAAGGCTAGCCTGGGCAAAAAGGTACTGAGATTGGGTCTCCAAAACAAAAACGCTGGGGGCATATTTTAAGTAGTAGATCAATTGCTTAGCCTTTATAAAACCTTGAGTTTAATCACCAGAACTGCCTACCTTGGCAGCTCACCCCCACATCATAAAAACCATTGTTTACTTTCAGCCAAATAAGGACTGTCAAATATGCCTAAAGCGCAATTAGAAAGTCCCTTCTCTTTCCTTCCCCAAATGCCACTTTGCTGGTTGCTTTTGGAGAATTGTCTGGTAGTTCCTCAAATAACCAAATACAGATGCCATGTATCCCAGAAATTCCACTCCTGTGTATACGCTCAACAAAATTACAAGCATATGTCTGCACAAAATCTTGTACATAAATGTTCATTGCAATGTCATTCATAGTAGCATGATGTCAATAGTATGATGTTAGTTTGATTAAAATATTAGAAAATCAGTCATGACTTATGTTAAATTTTAACCAGACTATCAGCAATATTTCATTGAACCAAATTAGTTACTACCAAATGATTCCTTCATTATTAGTTCTGTATTCTAGGTTTGACTTCTGGTCACTCTTAGATTTGGAGAAGAGTATTATCCACAATGAATGCAATAAGAAAGACTTCATATATTCTAATCAAAAAAGAAAAATACTGGGAAATACTCATCTTTATTTCAGCATGTAATTAATGATTAGTCTCAAAATTTACAGTTGTATCATTATATTAGATTAGATTTACAAGAAAATATTTAGGGCTGGAGGCATGTCTTGAGTAGAGTACCTGTGTAGCCGGTGCAAAGCCCTGAGGTCTAGTCCCAGTACCACCAAAAAAATATGTATGTATATTCACACTCTATGGAAAAGCTTCTTGAAAGAAGACAAAGTATGAAATAAAGAACATACAAAAAATAACTAAGCAAGGGGGCAGTTTTGTAATTGAAAGTAGGAAAAACAAATATCTGAATAATAAAAAAATGAAGAAAGAAAACTTGACATGCGAATGTATGTTAGATAGTATTGTGAGTCTTACTTTGGGTGCTAAAGTGAATAACAAATCTGAAAAAATTGTATTTATTGAAATAGAAATTAGTAGCAGAGAGTTACTTGGTTTAGGAGAAAAATCACATATTCATGTATTTTGTATGTGAAAGTGGGGAGACATACTATTATGGCACCACTTTGAAGAGAGAATACCCTTTTAAAGATTATGCTGTGCTTTAATTTATGGAGAGTTAAGAAACCAAACATTCACAACAGATGGCGATTCCTTACTACTTTTCATCCATGTTATTCCAGTGCACTTCTGTATACCTCTTCAAAATAAAATCCAGCTTTGTGCTTACACACTCACATATTTGGGAATACTGCAACAGTGCTTATTTGGCTGAAACTGTGATCATTGATACAGATTATGAATTTGAACAAAATAAAGCAGTGAAGTGTCTTTATACATTTAGCCCTGAGGTTTCATTCCAATGGGAAACTATAGACATATATGTTTATTTTTCCCTCTTTTTTAGTTTTAATCCAGTCTCCAAACAAAAATCATTATACATCTTCAACAAGTGAAGCAGTTCCACCCCTAAGTTTGACACAAAACCAAGCATTTTCTCTTCCTCCTGGTCACGCCGTGTGCTGTTTCTTGGATGGTGGAGTTGGACTTTATGATATAGGAGCCAAAAAGTGGGATTTTCTTAGAGACTTGGTATGTCTGTGGTGATTCCTTATGTTGCAATGCCTATTTTTCGTAAACCCACAATGTTGACTTTTACCTTTGTATTAATATTGCTAATTTATTTTTATTAATAATGATGTTAAGACTTCTTTCTTAGTTTGTTGAAACATTTTAGAAAAATATGTAGAATAATGACAATACTACTAAAATTTTTCAAATATTAAAAATTAAACTTTACAATATTAATGTCTACCTCTTATGTAATGGAAAAATACCTAGGAGGAGCTGAGGATATAGCTCAGTGATACAGTGCTTGCTTAGCATGTGTGAGGACCTAAATTCAGTCCCTAGCACTTCAGTAAATAAATGAATAAATAAATAGTAGATAGCTGTGCAGTTTTGGAAGCAAAATGAGAAAGAGAATATTGTTTCAGAAGGAAGACAAGTTTAACCTTGCCAGTTATTTCATGCCTTATTGCTTTCATCTTATCTGTGAATTAATTAAGCTTGGATTAGGTGTTTTGTAAGATTTCTTTCTATTGAATCATTATCATAATTCTATAATTCTGTGAATTCTGTTATGATCATTAAGCCTCTACCTAACCTCTTTGTAGCTTCACATTTGTGTCTTGTTTTATTCCATACTATATCTCCACTGCCTATCATAGTGCACAGCACATAGCAACACTTTATTGTTTTATTGGGTACATGAGCAGAGAGTGAGGGAGTGAAGGAGGAAAGGAGGGAAGGGTGGAGGAAGAGAGGAATGAAGGAAGGAATTTATGTTGTTATTAATATTTGTTCAAGTCCATCCTCTTAATTCTCTCTAGTTCAGAGTTTATAAAAATGATTCCATTTTCCCCACAGGTTTGAATCAGATTAAGGTAGACATTTAACAAACTTAAGTGTTAATTGCCTTCTTGTGATCTCACTGAGAAAAGGAATTGTGTTAGTTTTCTATCCCTGTAACAAAGTACCTGAGAGAAATCAAAGGAGAAAGGCTTATTTTGGCTCAGGGTTTTAAAGGTGACCTGACTCCTTTTTCGGGGAGGGCTGGGTAAGGCAGAATACTATGTAGGGAGCATGTGATGACTCAAAACTGCTTATCTTGTGGTAATCAGGAAGCTCCATATGAGGCATCTGGGTGGGGCTTGTGGTGATGTGATGTGAGCTTCCAAGGGCTGGGAAGCACTTCCTCTATTGCCTTGATGACTGCAGCCCACAAGACCACTCTTGGGCTGTGTTCACCGCCTACAGATTCCCTCAGTAGATGTTCCTCATTCCTAGCATCTTCTCCTTCTTGGCATCTCTATTACTGTTCAGACTTCACTCTCACAGCTTCGTGAATATCCCCCCCAGGGTTTGCCCACAGGGATTCCAGCCCTGCCACATACTGCCTGTTTTTTTAGGCTTCCTTTGAAATCTTGGTGGAAGTCTCCATGACCCACTTTCTGGTACCAGTTTTGTATATTAGTCTGTTTTTCATCACTGTAACAAAATTTCAAAAGTGTAAAGATTTATTTTGGCTCACATTTTCAGAGGTTTCAACCCATGGCAAGCTGTCTCCATTCTGTCTGTGGTGAGGCATCATGGCAGGAGGAGTGTGTGGCAGAGGAGGCTGCTTACTTAATGGCAGCCAAGAAGCAAAGAACAGAGCAAGAAAGGGACCAGAAACAAGATAAACCCTTTTAGATTATGCCACCAGTGACCCCTTCCTCCAGCTACCCTTACTTCCTGAAGTTCACAGCACCTCCCAGTAATGCTATCGAATTACTAATCCATTTGATGATGTCAGAGCTCTTGTGACCCAATTACTTTCCAAAAGCTCTACCTTAGAACACTGCTTCACTAGGGACCAAGCTTTCAACACATGAGCTGATCTAAAATTAAGAAAAATGCTATATTTTTCTCTTCACGTCTGCCTTCCTCTTGGTATGAAGAAAACACAGAAGAAAGGTTACAATTTGGTTCTTGTGATGGGAATTTTCAGATTTCTAAAAATAAAATTTGAAGACATAGTAGCAAAATACATTTAAAAGTGACATGCACACTGCTACTGGCTTATATATGTCCATAACACTAAAAATGACCACCTGGAAGCACTCTAGCCAGGTGAAACAATGGTAGAGAGGCTACAATGGTAGCCTCTCTTCTTTCCTGCTGACTAATCCTTTGGATTTTTTTCTTTCCTCTACCTCTTTCCTCTATAGAAGAGGCTTTACAGCAGTTTTTCATTTTTCTAAGCATTGTGATTTCTAGTATAATGGACATACCTAGTGTTTAAAGGACTTCTTTCTATACCATTAGTACATTGGTTGTGGATTAGAAAGCCCTAGCCTTATATTTTAACTCCTTCCCTAGATCCCAGCATGCTAGAGTTTTTCTTGCTTGGAGTCAGAGTTTCAATTTCCATTTCCCAATATTTGGAAGAAGACAGACTAAGTGGCTTTTTAAATTGGATTTTTACCAGATATTCCCATAGCTGTATAGATACAAAGTACCACCTTACAGATATGTTTACAGATATCACTATATAATCTTGTGGGTATTTGGAATCCAGATCATCTTGTAACAGGAAAAGTATTCCATATTCTAAAAAATTTGGAACATGGCTTATTAAAATTTGATACCATGCCTGGTTCTTCCTATTTCTGCCCAAATTGTGAGATGCTTTTGGAATATGTCATTAGTATAGAAAAGGAATATTTGCATTAGTAGACTTCTAATATAAGATTCATCCTAGTCTTCTATTACACTGCCAGATTGACATGTAGTGACTATTAACAGTTAATTGCTTTAGAAATGTCTGGGTTAGTATCTTGTATATTTAAAAAAATCAGAAGAATGTTTTTCAATTGAGTTGAAATTGAAAAGTGAGATTTTTTTTAATATCTTTGAATTCAGTTGCTGATTTGATGAACTGTGGTTGAATAAAATCTATGTACAAAATGCAGACTGAACATCCCTAATCCTAAAATCTGAAAAATGAAGTGCTCCATAACGTGAAACATAATGCCACACTATCATGTAATAGTGAAAAGGCAGGCACATTAAAAATGCTGTATAAAATAATCTTTAAGCTACTTATATATATATTATATATATGTTATATATGAAATTCAAATGAATTTCATGTTTATCTTGGGTCTCATAACCCAGGTATCTCATTATGCATTTGTAAGTATTCTGAAATCAGAACTCTGGATCACTTCTGATCTTATCCCAAGAATTTTGGGTAAGAGATACCCAACCTGTAATACAGTAATAGCCCAAAGAATATTAAATCACAGTAGTGATTTCATTTTTGTATATTTTTTGCTTGACTATGTATTTTTGCATTATTATTTGGAAAACCATAGTATTCCATATATCAATTTGATTATACATTATGATTTGTTTAATAATATATATTTTTCCTTAGTAACTGTGACTTTTTTAAACTAGGGACATGTGGAAACTATCTTTGACTGTAAATTCAAACCTGATGATCCAAATCTTTTAGCGACAGCATCATTTGATGGCACTATAAAAGTCTGGGATATAAACACATTAACAGCAATGTATACTTCCCCAGGCAATGAAGGGGTTATTTACTCCCTTTCATGGGCTCCAGGTAAGAAGTATTTTATTAAGTGATTTTAATTATTGCAGTATGCATCTTCAAAGCTGGTTTGCCTGATCAGCAATATAGGAATTGGACCAGCCAGTAGAGTAACATAGCACTAACCTGCTATTTGTTAAACTTTCTTCTTCATGCAAAAAAAATCTGTGTCTCAAACTTAAAACTTGACTAAAAATTGTGAGTATAAAAATCCAATCATAATGGAGAGGCCCAGTCTTACTTACTAATTTGCATCAAAAAGTAAAAACATTGGAAAATGGAATTCAGTGTGATTGCCTATGAATCCGTTTTTAGGGAAGTTTTAAAAATTAGGGTGACAAGGATGGAAATGCAAGAGAATATAGATGATTTCATAACTTCCTCCATATTTTAGAATAGATGACACAGGAAAAGAAAAAAGCAAATAAATTTGGAAATAATTTAAGAACCCAAAAAGGATAGCAGAATAAAAATAGTAGAAATGTAAGGACTTTTTTAGTGTGGACAGTCATTTATCACAAAGCAATTCCTGTGTAATCTAACTCCTAAGATGGAAGATGACACATGCTCCTTTCTTCTGAAAAAGAAAACATTTTTTTGCTTTCTTCCAAAAAATACATGGGTCCTTAACCAACTACTAACTTAGCAGTATTTTACCAGATTTTTTTTATTTCCTCAAAATAGAAAGCATTATGTTTTCAGTAAAGAAGCTATTTTTAAGTTACTTGTTTTCAAAACTTCTTTTCTAGCCATTAAAATATTACTATAAATAGTCAGGTTATGAATAATCACTTAATGTATGATACTATTGAGCTATTGATAACATTTGTGACTGTGATTGTGATGCTTTGGTCTTTATAATAAATCCATCTCTAAACAAAACAAGATTGGCCATTCACAACTATTGAAACTGCATAATAAACATATCTATTGTGTTATTCTCTCTATATTTAATGCATCGATACATTTTTACAATTAAACAGTTCATAATTTCCATTCCAAAACTTAAAGAATTCTACAAATAACAATCTTACATTTTTTACATTTTTGAAATGAATTACATTTGTGTCAAATATGTAACAGTGTCTAACAAATTTTTTTAAGGTGGTTTAAATTGTATTGCTGGTGCAACTTCCAGAAATGGTGCTTTTATTTGGGATGTTCAAAAGGGCAAAATGGTACAGCGATTTAATGAGGTAGGATGTATTTACTGCTACTGAATAATGTGATGCCTTATTTCACTTTATACCTATTAATCCAATAGTTAATACATGGTGGCATGTTTCTTCTCCCCACTAGAAAACAATCCAAGGAGATGTTTCCATGCTAAAATGAACTCTGAAAATTGTAGCTGAGCCTATAAAAATTCACTTGAAGTTGTCTTAGAGATTCAAAAGAATTTTAAGTCTTCCTCCACAAAATGTAGGCAAATTTTAAATAATAGGGACAAGACTAAACACAAAAATCCCAAATTATAGTCTTAATTCTGTTAGTAATATCTCTTGACAGAAGAAGAATTATTTTATTGACTTGGATCTGTTTCTTCATCTGCAAAATAATGAACTTGGATTCCATAATTTCTTTTTCTTTTTTCTAATTATTGTTCTACTGGGGGTACATTGTGGTGTTTTCAAAAATTCTTATAATTTATTATAGTTGGTTTCATCCCTTCCATTATTCTTTTATCCACCCCTCTGCCCATTCCTGAAATAGTTTCAACATGTCTCATTTTCCATCTTGATAAATGAGTACACAATATTTCCACTACATTCAGCCTCCTTCACACTTCCCATATAACTTACCCCCTTCTACTGATACCAGCCCCCAGACAGGACCTGTTTTACCTTCCTGTTCTCCATTTTTTAGGGGGAAAAATTTATTTAAGATAGCTTTACAGGAAGTTTCCTTGTGACATTTATATGTGTATATATATATATATATATATATACATATATCATTTATATGTATATATTATTTATATATATTATATATTGGTTCATGCCCTTTATATTTCTCCTTTCTACCTTATTTTCTTATGGTGACTTCAACAGGTTTAAAAATTCTATGTTCATTCTTGTATAGAAAGCAGTCATCCATATTCCTTCTTAACTTCTTCCTTTCACCCTCCCTGAATGGATGCTTTGCTTTCCCAGAGTACTGCCATAACGATGTAAATGCTGAGTACTAAGGACATGTTACCAAGTACCTGTAAGCAAGTTTGCACTCAAAAGAAGAAACTTTTACAAAGATGATATTCTTCCCTTTCTCCATATGCAACAAAACTATGCTGTGTCAGTTCACAGTGCCCCAGCCTGGCCTCTCTCTCCCATCACCAGAATGGCAGCTTTATCCCATTATAAGTAGTGAGGTATAAGAAGAAAAGAGCCAGAAAATAAAACTTTTGATCAAAATTTGAAAATTTTTTCCTTTCCTAGCATATCTGTTGATTTCTTCTTATGTCATTTTGGTATCACATGACCTAAAATATCTGTCCATTAGCACTTAAGCAATTTAGCTTCTTAATGTCAAGGACATCTCATATGTTTGTTCAAATCGTTCCCAACATTTAGTAGCACAGTTAAGATCAGTATCAAAATTGCTTCAATCTTGTATTACAGGTATGGGAAAATTAACATTGTCAACTTTAATTAACTAAGACACATGTGCCTCACAAAAGGAAATGCAGGATATTAAAGAGTGATAAATGAATGTACTTTTCTTGGAAAAAGAAAAAGAGATTGACAGAAGACCTCCACCCCTTCAACTGAATGAATAGAAAGACTGGTTCCATTTTTGTATCTATCTGTATAAACCTCCCCTCTTTGACTCCTCCCTAACGAGGTTAAAAAACTGGAAATTGCCTTAAGAAGTTGAATGTGTGTGATAATAAAGCAACCTAAAGTGCCATATAAAAAGTCACTTTAGTTTTCTTCTTAATGACAGCCACAATTTAAGTACTGTATAAAATAGAAAAAAATAATTAACATTTAGAAATAGGTTAATTATGGCTTTTGTACACCCATCACACAGTTGATGAATGACATTCCCATGTATATTATTTATTCCTTGCATTTTAAAAATTCTCATCACAGGCTGGCAGAGTGGTCCAAGTGGTAGAGCCTCCTGGCTAATGAGCATGAGACCCTGAGTTCAAATCCCAATACCAAACACACAAAAATTCTCATTACATCAGCTATAACTGTACCACTTTTCCCTTCTCTGTTCCCAGAGTGTGGAGGAACAGCTAAATAGAAAATAATTCATTACGGGAATTAAATTAATCTCCTCCAATTTCTTAATAAAAGAAACCTTTGAAACTTGGGGGAACAACCAGTAATAACAATTTGCTTGCAATATTTCTTATATTATAGCTGTAGTAGCCTGGATTTGAAATCATAGGTAACTATCTTCAACTCCATGGTAATACTGCATACCCTTTGATGATCACTCAGCAGGTAGAGTGGAGGACTGTAACTATACACAGAGAGGTATTTAAAGGAAAAGGCATTAAGCAGAGCTTAATTCTGTGAATGACTGAAGAAGCAAATTTTGACTCTTCACCAGTATACAACAAAAAGAAAGCCACTCAATCCTTGTCTTTAAACAATGGATCTCTTTCTTAAGTGTGACAGCTTTACAAATTCTTAGAATATATATACTCAGGTTCCTTCTTTTGACAATAATGTCTCTGTTAGTATCATCCAGAATTATTTCCTAAAAGGAAAAGTAATACTTAGAAGAAGAAAATAAATAAGAGAAAAAAGGGGTGAATTATTTCTTATTGATAGGTATTTTGCATTTTTTGAAGCATGGGAAAAATGGAATATTCTGCATTGCCTGGAGTCATAAAGATTCCAGAAGAATAGCAACCTGCAGTGGTGATGGTTTCTGGTAAGTACTCTGTATGATATTATGAAGTTATTCTGTTTATCAGAGGCTCATTTGATTATTCCAGTTATGTATCAATGAGATATCCAGTACTGGATATCAATATTATTTATAAACCCATGTAGTCAATATATATTGCTATATAGTTTATAACTATGCAGTAGTGTTTTAAAAATACAATCCTTGCCTTCTAAATGAAAACACTACATTAATTGTAACTAAAAGACTGTGAATTGCTACAAGGAAACTTTAAGCGTTTACCACATTTTGGGGTGAGTAGTATTTCAATTTCATAAGTGATTCAAGAGATATCAAGTGCTCTGTAAATAAGTTCACAGTTTTGTAGATTCTGTTATTTATAAAAGGATAAAAAGCCTTTGCAAGAAGGAATGTGCCAATGCAAGTAGGAAATGACATTTTTTAATGGAGCTAGCACCGCTAACCCCGTGTTTCAGATGTGTGCTTTTTAAAATTCCATTAAGTCCCAGGAAGAAGTGAATTTCCATGTGAAAATATATAAGGAAAAAATTGCCTTGATTTTAAAAGCTATTTGAAAATCAAAGATACTCCCCTTTTGCTAAAAGTATAGTCATCTTTGAGAGGTATAGGTACTCATGGTTGTTGAGAATATAGAAGTTTGTCTTCTATTAGATTTGGTATATTTAGTCTAGTTTTCCCCTTCTCCCCTTTTAGTTTCAGTAGAACAGAGATATGGGGACCAGAGACCCTTTGCAAGGACTTTAATATTTTCAGAAATAATGCCACTAGAGATTTTTTCCTTAAAAGGAACAATTTGAAAACCAGTAGATTTCAAACTGCAAAAGATATTTTAAGAACTTTTTGATTAAATGATACATAGTTAAGTTTTGCATGTATTTTCAAGGCATTATTTGATAAATACCATATTGCATAACTAAACATTTATGAGTTGGTCACCACCATTCCCCAGGAACTTCAGAAGTTTTGGTGGGCCTGGTGATGTATAAGAATGTCATTTCCAAAGACTTTTGAAATCTGTAGTACATTAATTTATGGACAAATTTTTTTTTGTTTTTTGCCTAATGAAATCAATAACCCTCACATTGTGGCAATTATAGAGTAAGGTCAGAGCTTCTTTTATTTTTGTAGTGAAAGCATAGAATCCTTTTTTGATGATGGGAGTTGATTTTCTATTGGGATTACTGAAATTATACCTTGAAAATATGTTATAATTTATAGATCTTGGTCTTGGCGAAATGGCACATAGCCAACTTTATGAATGAATAAATTCTTATAAACGATTCTGAAGATAAAAGCCTAAAGCATACATCAGTTATATCACTGCTTTAAAAGATGTTTTTGCTCATTAAAAAAGTTTTTTAAGAATTCAGATTCTAAATCAGATTTTATCACCATTAATTTTACTTGAGGAGGTTTACCATAATTAATATTATATGATGCAAATATACTCATTATTGGTAATATCATTTATGTAACACTTTTAAATTTTCTTTGGGATTTGCAAACCAAGTCTGTATCTTAGAATACTTATCTTTGAAATATAGTTCTGACTTCATTCCCTTGAATAATTTATTAAGAATGTCATTTTCTTATTAACATTATACTAATTTCAGTATTATTCGAACAATTGATGGTAAAGTAACGCACAAATACAAACATCCAGCTGCGGTGTTTGGCTGTGATTGGAGCCAAAACAACAGGTAAGTTGTTTTTTTTTCCCTGAAATAAATGATAATTATATTTCAGAGAGTTTTTTTTAATAACCATAAAGTTTTATATTTTCCCATCAATAATATTCTTCTTACCTAGCAAATGAGAAGTGAAGAATCTTTCAAATATTAATTTATTTTAGTTATTTTTATTCCATAATATCGTTACATAACTTAGAAATACTAATTTCCTACTCTCAAAATAGCTTTCTGATATTTTGAAAGAAAGCATACTGATGATAAGTAATAAGCAATAGAAATAAGTCCGTTCCATGTGTTGCTTCTACTGTAGAAGTATTGTCCTTTCCTTAATTTCTTTTAGGTCTCTATACAGTGGTACCATTTCACCATAGCTTTCCATTGTACCCACCTTAGGCTAATGCCTCTGTATTGCATGATTTCCCAAGATATAGAACTTAAATAGATGGTTTTGAGAGGCCAACTTTGAGAGCTGAGTGTTTACCATGTAAAAATCAGCTTACATTAAAAATTAAATTCGAGTAAAATTCCATTAAATTTAACTCACTGCATTTTCAAGAATTTTGTGTTTCATACCTCTCTGGCAAAATACAGGTTATATATAAAATGTAAACTTCTTTAGATATTATCAAAACTAACATAAATTGTACTTTTCCATATAACCTGTGGCAGACATGTAAGTAAATATTAAAACCTTATTTTACTTGGGTTCTTCATCAAATTGCATATACAAAATGGAGGCCTTTGTGTTTCTTCCACTAAATATAGAAGAATCTATTAACACGTTGTTAGATTATGCCCAAAAGGAATTTATGACCATCCACCACTGCTTCCCATCTCAAGGACTTCTATTTCTAACAACAAAATCTGCTAAGGCCAGCGTCCTTCCCTCTTCTTCTACACCTCACCATCTCACGATCTCCATTTCTACCAGTTGCATTTTACTCTGCACCTAAATAATCTTTTTCCAAATGTCCTTCTTCCACTAAACTAATAATATTTGGGTGTGTTCTTTGAAAATAATTTAATAAACAGTATTAAATAAGTGGCTAATACCATATATAGTATCAGTGGATACAGAAAAAATTAATAAAATGTAACATTCATGATTTAAAAAAACTCAAGAAAACCAAATAATAAAAAAAATTCTATTAACCTTCTAAAATCCCCAGTCTGCTAGGTTAAAACAATCTACTTATGAATCTATATACTAGGAATTTTTAACAGTCAATTTTGAATATATTAATATTCAAAAAGTATAAAAATACTTAAGGCATTCATGTAACAAAAAAGTGTAAGATTTAATACCAAAAAATTTAAAACATTGGTGAGAAATTAAAAACCCAATAAATTGAGACATGTTTAATACTTGGGTTTTTCTTTCTTTTTGGTATTCTCTCAAAGACTTAAGTCAATTCCATTTACATTCCTCATTCCACTCTCTCCCCCACTCCTGCATCTTCTCCATGTTGAAATCAGAATGAATGTTTAAAATACTGATCTGAGCACACCATTCTACTGCTTAAATTCTCAAGTTTCCCATTAATTTTAGGTTAAAATGTAAACTCTTAGCAAGCCCTATAAGGAAGTCTCTGTGTAGTCTGGTTTCTGTCTAGTTTATTAATCTCATTCCTTGCTTCTTGCATCCAGCCACATTGCCTTTTAGTTTCTTGAACTAGCCAGCTGATTTTCACATCAAGACTTTGCTCACACTGTTCCCCCTTTGTTTAGCAAGCTCTCTACCATATACCACATGCCCCAACTGAGTTGGACCTAAGTAACTGTTACCTACTCGTCAGCTCTCAACACAAAAATTACTTTTACAGAAAAGTCTTCCCTGACAACCATATTAAGTAAACCTCTCCTACAATATGGTTTTGGAGAATTTATAATAGAATTAAATCTTTTTTTGTGATCCTGGGAATTGAACTCAGGGCCTCACTCTGCCACTTGAGCAATACCCCCAGTGCCTTTTCTTTTAGCTTGCTTTCCAGACAAAGTCTGTCTCTAATTTTGCCCACGCTGGCCTCAAACTGTGATCCCCCTACTTCCACTTCGAAGTAGCTGAGGTTATGGATATGGCTGCCATGTCTAGCCCTAAAGTTAAAATTTTAATTGTGTGATTGGTTATGTATTGACTGTCTGACTCTCTAAAATGTAAGCCCCATGAAATCACTGGCTGTGTTACCCGTGTTTGGCAAAATAGTCAGCAAAAACAGTCTTTAGCATATGTTGCTAAACTTCATTGTCTCTTGAAAAGGTAGATTTAGATGTTCAATAATATTTGCTTCACTGCCCATGAAATAAATAATTCCCCAAAGTTTTGTTCTCTTTTCTCCTCTTCTTTCCTGCCCATATTCCACTATTCTCACATCTCCACCCTTCTTCTCTCTCTTTTCTGTCCTTCAGAATTATCTGACATCTGGATAATAGGACAGTTCCACATTCTTATTTCCATGTTTTATAGTGTTAACAAAGTATTCGAGGCACTGAAATAAAAATTAGATTTTAATGCAATGTCTTTAGTTAGGATTTTTTTTTAAATGAAGTTAGAAGTCCCTATTTCCTAATTATTATGCTTACTACCAAGCATATCTCATAAATTTCATTTTTAATTTTAAAAAGTATTTTTTTAAGTATTTTAAAGAATACATTAAAAGTATTCTACTTGTATTCATATTTCACATTGCACTTTAGTAGAAAAAGGTATCAGTTTTTTCATAAGGTATCTTGAATTTATAATTTGAGTTTGATTATATGCATTTTTGAATGTTTCTGGTATTCCTAAGATTGCATACTTATGTATCTGCATCTACATGTATACAAAAATATACCAGAATATTCATCTAATTATATATATGTATGCAAAATAATTTTTCAAAATGTAGAAACTAGCCTGTTGATCAGTGAGCCTTAGGAAGATGTAGTCTGTGCATGCTAGTTTGCAAAATGTTATGCTTCTGCAATTGGTTTAAATAGATATAACCATTATAACTCATGTAACAAAATCAACAATTTGAGGTTTTGGAAAGGTTTAGTGGCAGTTGGGTTCTGAAGAGTGTAATTTTCCTTCTTTATCTTTAGAATATTTATACAATGGTTAGGGTAGATGTTCCTTAAGTACACTGTTCTGATAGATACATGATATCCACAGGTTTGCCTGATATCCATAATTCCTTTCCAAACAATATTGCAAATATGACTATTGTACACAGGTACCTTTTATTCTTACTCTTGTGAGGATAATGAGCAAGGAATATTAAAAGATGATACTATTTTTCTAGAGAATCCTTAGTTTATCTAATAATTAAAGCATGGTAAGGAAGTGAAGCCACAGAAAAGGAATGGAAAATTGAAGTGTGTTTTAGTGTCTGATGAAGTTAACTCTGGTCTGTAGAGAGCTTTTCCAGCATCCTTCTAGAGGGTGTCATTGCTGTCTGTACCTATGCCTCAAAAAGTAGCAAATGTCCAGGGAATGTAATAATAGTTTGCCTGTCAGCAAGTAAGCAAATATCATCATTCATCTTATGGAACCTTTCTTAAGACAAAACAATTGCAAAATATAAAGTTCAAGAAACATTCAAGAAGTTGTAAGTGTGTACTGAAAACAACATACATATATATATGTATATATATCACCTCTGACTTAAGATAAATAAAACACAAATTCAGCCAATTAAAATATAGCACTAAGGAACTCTTTATACTGGCAGTTTCTGCAAATGAACAATAGCATAATTATACATGATTTTTATATGTAAGTTCTTAGTCTAACTTCATTAAACAAAAAATTCTTTAGAAATTAGAACTATTGGACCTTTTAAAAATTATTTATAGTAAAGAAAGTAGGAAATCATCTATTTTAATGTTACATTGTTGACTTTCAGAGACATGATAGCCACTGGCTGTGAGGACAAAAACGTTCGTGTTTACTATGTAGCCACCAGCTCTGATCAACCATTGAAAGTATTTAGTGGCCATACAGCAAAAGTGTTTCATGTTAAATGGTCTCCTCTGAGGGAGGGAATTCTTTGCAGTGGTTCTGATGATGGGTATGTATTTTTGCATTCTGTTTTCCTTGTCCTTTAAATAATAAACTTTCACAGAAATGCATATATTTATATGATAAAATTATATATGGAAATATTTAAAGTGTATACTAAGCTAGTAGACCGTTGACAAGAAACAAACTAAATTCCAGCAAAACTAAATTCTGTCATGTTTATATTATTCATGATTTTTGTTTTCTTATTTATTTTGCTTACTCTGAATGCTTATGTCTATCTTACTAGCAACAAAGTTAACACAAAAAAATTTAAATGGGTATGTGAGGAAATGGAAGAAGATCTTAAACAAATCTATGAAATATAGAGAAGAATTTGTTTTTGATAATATTGTTAGTCAAATATAGAAAATAGCTGTACTCTTTCATCAAGAATAGAATAAAAACTGACCATAAATTTTGGCATAAAAGAATTTTAGAAATGAGATGTTTAATATTTTACTCTATTTGTGAGAGTTTTATAGTCAAACAAAGATATATTTAGATAGTATAGTTTGCTTCAACACTATCTGAAGATGGGATATTCTACTTTTTACAAGTAAAAGTCAGAGTGAAAGTAACCACAGGTTACTTTGTTTTGTAATTATTTTCACCGTGAATTTTTTACTTAAGTCCAAATTTAATAAGAGAAACAATTATGAGACTTTTGTGGGTTATCACTTAAAATGTTACTTTTAATATGGTTATCATGTGAAAGTTAATATGCTTTCATTCATTCCAGTCCCTCAAAAGCCTAAGTATGTCAAAAAAGAAAGGCCTAATCTATTGGCCCCTATAATAACATTATATTATTTTGATACAAAGGACTTTAATATATTCTTAACTATTAAAGCATGTTAGCATTCAGAAAACACATACTAACATATGTAAGAAATTAGAACAAAAATTAGGTTGAAATATAATTGTATATATAGTCATTTCTGGGGATTCATTGGGGTTTATTCCAGGACACCATCATAGATACCATGTCCATTGGATTTTATGCTCATTATATAAAATGGCATAGTATTTGCATGTAACCCATGTATATCCTCCCACACATTTTTAATTATCTTTAAATTATTGTAATTTAATTACTTACAACACCTACTATAATGCAAATACTACATAAATGGTTGTTATACTCTGTGGTTTAGGGAATAATAACAACAAAAAATCAGTATATGTTTAGTACAAATGCAATTATTTTAGTAATTTCATTTCATACTTGGTTGAACCTGTGGCTGCAGAATCCATGGATATGGAGGATTGATTTTATTGTTCTGTACTAGGAAAATGGGCGAGGGGGAAGAAAGGAGTCTTTTTATATAAAGCTGAAAGATATGTATGCTTTAAGGAAATAAAAGTATATAATGTGTGTCCTTTACAATGCAGTATAAACTTTAACATATTAATTTTTTTGATATCGTCAGGTTGGTATAAGTTTGTGACTAAAAACATACTGTGATTTGTCTGAGTGGAATTGGCATTTAGAGGTCTTAAACTGATTTTGAGATTAAAGTTTAATTTCAGTAACACTTGTACATTGTACAATCAGTAGAACTACATAATATCATGAATCAAGTTAATTTTTTTTACGTGACTTTAGATTCTACACTGTCCATCAACTTATTTTACTGACAAAAAACATGAAGGAATGATTTACTTATTGATAAAAGCATAAATATAGAGTGATTTTCAAATAAGATATATCATCTTACATGTTATATTTTCATGATATATAAATAATTTGATCTGAAATTATTATTTCTACTTATCAGATTATATCTGTTCTACATATTTTTACTTAAGAATATGTTTGTATGTTTTAGTATAGGATATTCTGAAATAGTATTTTACTGTGAATAATAATTCACAATAAAATTAGGAAATAAAATGTGTTATAATAGGATAACTCCAACATAATCAAATATTCATTTCCATCTTCAATAAAGAAGATAATATTAATGTATCTTTTTTGGTATGCTAATAAATAATCATTGTGCTCCATTAAGAATATGTTAATACTTTGGATAAATTATAACTTAAATTATATGCAAAATATTCTACTTTCAGTTCTGTTCGAATCTGGGATTATACTCAAGATGCTTGCATAAATATTCTCAGTGGACACACTGCACCTGTGAGAGGACTAATGTGGAATTCTGAGATTCCATATCTACTAATATCTGGCAGCTGGGACTACACTATAAAAGTATGGGACACTCGGGAAGGAACTTGTTTGGATACTGTGCATGATCATGGTGCAGATGTATATGGTAAAAGGTTTTTCATGTATTTGTTATTTTGTTACATTAATGAAGCCTGTAATTTTTGAGCAATCCAGCATTAGTAAAGAAGTCACTATTTCATTTTTTCTCACTAGAAAATATGCATGTGTATTATCTAAATATCAATGCAGAAAAGATAATTAACAAATCATCAAAAGATGACTGTTATTAGCACTGTGGTATCTTTCTGTCTATAGGCATATCTGTGTTTCTGTGCATACACACACACACACACACACATATACATACACACAGTGCCTCTGGACACATATACATGTGTGGGTTGAATTTCTTTGCTTCACTTTCCCATCACTACAAAGGTAAGTGGTAGAATTGGGAATTAATGGTAGAATAGGTATAACTTATTTAACTAATGCCTTATTTTTAGATACTCAGCTTTTTAGTATAATTGATAGGAGTAAGTGGGTGGATTAAGAATTCAAAAAAGGTTCCTTAGAAAAAGTAATAAAATCCAACTATTCAGATCTGTATGCTTTCTTCCACTGGCTTTTTAGCTGAGGCAATGTGGAAATGGGATTAGAAAAGAATCCCATTTTTCCATGTCCTAAATTAAAATACCTTTGACTCTTTCTTCATCTTGTAACTAGACTATTCACCTATATTTCCATTAATTCGTAGGTACCATGTGCTATATTGTTACTAGAGTGCACTTTCTACTTAGCCAAATGAAATATAATTTTAACATTTTCCCTCAAGACCATTTGCTTTCTGATAATTATACAATTTTATACTAAATAATTTATTATATTCTTACTTTATCAGTCAAGACAGTAAGTGCATGTAGAAGGTTGACTTCTTAGAATATTTCAGTTATTCACAAATTTCTTTATAACTTCATGTTTTTCAATGTTTTTAGCTAAAATAGTTTCACTTTTTCCATCAGGTTTAACATGCCATCCAAGTCGTCCCTTCACAATGGCTTCTTGTTCCCGTGATTCTACAGTGAGACTCTGGTCATTAACACCTTTAATCACTCCTTTACAAATAAATATTCTGGCAGACAGATCTTGGGAAGAAATTATTGGGAACACAGGTATTGAACATATGGGTATATTTGATTTTATTTTTAAAAAATACAAGAAAATTTTCCTCACTGAATTATGTCTTTTCCTCAGATTTTGCTATAGAACAAGGTGCTCCTCCTCTATTGTGTGGTAAAGTATCAAGAAATATTAAACAGGAAATAGAAAAACTGACTGGTAATCCTCGAGTGAAAAAATTAAGATGGTTTTCAGAATGTTTATCAGTAAGTATCGTAGGCCATTAAGCATGAACATTATCCCTTTATTCAAAATGACTGTGCCATTCAGTTGTTACATATTTACACTTACTACCCAAATTCAGTGGGTCCCTGTTAATATAATCTGTGCAGTATAAGAAATGAAATGTTGCTGGGCATGGTGGTACATGCCTGTCATCCGAGCACTTAGGAAGCTAAGGCAGGAGGGTCATGTGTTCCAGGCCAGCCAAGGCTACATAAGGAGAGTCAGTCTTAAAAAAGAAGGGAAGGAAGAAGGAAGGGAAAGAGGGAAGAAGGGAGAACAAATGCAAAATCAGAGACAAAAAAAATATGATAATGTATAGTTATTACACATTATCTAAATAGCATATAGTTAGAATTAGAAGAGTCTACATTGTAGATAAGCCTACATTGTAATTTTTTTTTAAATGAAAAATGCCGTGAGGATTTTTGTTCACTATTTTGTCTTTGGTTATATTCTCTTTCTACATTTTAGCCTCCAGGTGGCAGTGACAATTTATGGAATTTGGTTGCTGTGATAAAAGGGCAAGATGATAGCTTACTTCCTCAGAACTACTGCAAAGGAATAATGCATTTGAAACATCTGATTAAATTTAGAACAGTAAGTAAAGCATGCAGATATGATGTACCTTAAACAAATTTGTGAATTATTTTAAAACAAACTAAGACAGCCATAGTTTTCAAAGGTTGAGTCTCATGAAATTCTTTGCAGGCCACTTGGAACTCCTTGACATGCTTTATCTTCTTTATCCTATTTCCAGGTGATTGTGATATGTGTGTGTATCACATCTGTATATACAGAGGGTGGGGGAGACTACTCTGATTTTAGTGTTGGAGAGGCTAATAGGCTGTATGCTTTATGTTATATTGAATATGAGCATATTATAGCTTTTAGTGAATGTTAATAAAAATTACCTTATACCTGGAGCAATATCCAGTATCAACAAGAAAACCTGTCCTGGAACTAGACAGAAGAAATAGTGTATATATTTTCAGTGAAATATCAGTAGTGAACTGTTGGAGCATGAGAGAACTGTGCCAGGAATGTGGATGTGATATTCACAAGGAACAGTTGTTTTCATAAAGAGGATAGATTTGCTTAATACCTGATAACTAACTGAAAAGTCTATTGACAGTATAGGAGCCAAAGTTAGCCAGTAGTTTCTACTTTTACTGGACACCTTTATGCTCAGTTTTGGTCTTTGTACTTCTATGTAACAATACTTGGTGAATGTTAAAGACAATGGGATACAACTTCTCCTCTCTCAATCCACACTACCATGCATATTCCAAAATATTGTATTTAAAGATACATCACATTTTATAAAGAAAAAATGTCATTTTAAAATATGTAATTTTTAGTTCTGTATGCTTTTTAAAATCTCCAGCTCTCATATAATAAATTTAAAAGCTATTGTTTTCTTTTCAACAAGTCTGAAGCCCAAGAACTAACAACAGTCAAAATGTCTAAATTTGGTGGTGGTATTGGTGTACCTACTAAAGAGGACAGGCTGAAGGAAGCTGCTGAAATACACTTGAGATTAGGACAAATTCAGAGATATTGTGAACTTATGGTTGAACTTGGAGAGGTATGTGCTATTAAAGTAAAATTAATGAGTACAATGTGGTATTCTAAGTATTAAAAATATACACATGTACGTGCGTGTATGTGTGTAGTTTTAAGATTGATCTATTTTAAACTTACCATATTAATTTTAAGTTAGTTACCAAATTTGTAGCCTTAATTGCAGTAGAACCCCAGTGATTTGGAGAGCCTTAATTAAAACAAGTTTTGATTCAAATACTGGTATTTCAGAATATTTTCTCCTCAGTTCTCTTCCAGGCTTGAATTTGGCAAAATACATTCTTTCAAATATCGCTCTTGATTGAATAATGAACTTCATGAATAGGAATTTAATTTTTAAAATACGGAAAATATTATTAATTAAAGGGAAAGAAACATTTTATAAATTGTATAAAATGAGTAGAGAAAGAATAAAAATGGAAATAAATATCACATTTGTTCAATATAACATTAAAATAAAATAGTTCAGTGTTAATTATTCTATATTAATTATTTTGAACATAGAAGGCCATAGAACATATTATTTGGTGGTTTTTCAGAAGACAAGTTGTGATATTTTCTTCTGTTTCTTTCTTTCTTTTTCTTTTAATAGGACTGGGGTTTGAACTCAGGGCTTCCCACTTGCAAAGCAGGCACTCTGCCACTTAAGCCACACCTCTAGTCCCAGTTGTCATTTTTTCTAACAATATACTTAGTTACTGTTCCTTCCATCCCATCCTTTTTGTTCCTCTTTTACTCCCCCCATTTCTTATTCTCTCTTTAGATCTCTTTTTCTCTGGGGTTAGGATTAGATTTTCCCTGATAAATAATAGAATTTTACATATTTTGTGGTATATAATATTTACTACACATAGGATCTAATAAATAAAATACAAAACTATTCCCAGCAATATAAGAAACATTCCTTATTATAAACATGGATTTAGAAAAAAGTCTATTCATAGTAAAATCAAAATAGATTTTTTTTTTGCTCTTTTTGCTTGTTATTATAGTGGGACAAAGCCCTGTCAATTGCACCAGGGGTCTCTGTGAAATACTGGAAGAAGTTAATGCAGAGGTAAGGAGAGGTTTTGTATCCAAACACATGTTTTATGTTAAAGTAGAAACAATATATAAGTGTGGTAGCAGCTCTTGAAATTTGCTATTCTTTTTTTGTATCAATATATACTTTATTTAATCACAAATCCTGATTTGAAAATTGCCTTTAAAATAGAGAACAGAGAATGTTATTCTTATGTTGTATTAAATTATAAGTGAATTTTGTATCTGCTGATCCAATAAATTAAATAAGTTGGTTTACAAATTCTGTTAGTGTACTTACATTTGTCCTTACCTCTAATGAAGACATTAGAAAGCAAATGTCCCCATATAAATGGAGGAAAGGCCAGCAAACAAATAGATGATTAACATATTACAATTGAAATGTAAGTGGAAAGATATTCTGAAGGTTATCAAACATTTGTAGAAAACTGTTTTATTCTAATCCTAAATAGTCTCCTGAGACACTCATTCCTGCCATTTCCTCCTCTTAAATATAAGGAGGTACTGCTGATAAAGAATAGTCTGGGCTGGAGGTTCAAGTGTTACAGAACCTGCCTAGCAAGCCCAAAGGACTGAGGTCAAACCCCAGTACCACCAAAAAAGACTGGTCTGGCTACTAAGGAAACTTAACTAGATGTCCTTGTTTTAAAATACAGTAAACCAACAATTTTTTTTGGTTAGGTATATCAGTTTCCTAGGGTTGCTATAACAGATTACCAAAAACTGGGTGGTTTACAACAATACAAATTCATTCTCTCAGTTCTGGGACTCTCAGTCCAAAGTCAGTTTGCTGACAGAGTTAGCCCTGGCAGAGGAAACCTGACCTAGGCTGGTGCATTTGAACTGAACTATACAGAATAAATGAGAGATGGCCAAGTGAACAGGCTAGAAAAAGTATTCCAGAGTGAAGGACCTAAAGAGAGCTTGCTGTAGCTAGAATACAGGAGCAGGTAGGGAGGGGGAACAATGGTGCAAAGCTAGAGTGGGAAGACAGGCAATAGCTAGATGGTTTGGGGGCTTTTTTAAACATACAAGCATTTTTAGTTTCTTTATTCAAAGAGCAATGGAAGACATTAAAGGTTTTTAAACAGGGAAGAGAATAACCTGACCAGATTTTCATTTTGAAAGTTCACACAAACTAAAATATCAAGAAATTAGAGCTGGGGGTATTGCTCAGTGATAGAGCACTTGCCTCCCATGCATAAGGCCCTGGGTTCCAAACCCATCATTTTAGAAAAATAAACATCATCAAAAAAGAAACAACAAGTTAGGGAAGACCCTTAGCAGATATGAGGAGGCCAGTTAGTGTAAGAATATCCAAGTTAGAAAACAATATTTGCATGAAGACTTTGTATAGAAATGGGGAAACGAAAGAAAAGCAGACAAATTTCATACATTTGGGTCTTCAAATTAACTGAACTTGTTAGTAGAGGTGAGGACAGTGTCATAATTCCTGGGTTTTAGGCTTGAAACACTGGGTAGAAGCTGTTGCTATTCACTAGAATTTTAAAACAAAAACCTTAGAAGGATATTTGAATGTTTGAATAATATGGGTCAAAAGATCATTAGCTCCCTTCAGAGAGGTTGAGCTTATAATTCTTTGTGATTGTAATAGCAATATCAAATAGGTAATCTTAATTCCTTAATTCAAAAAGAAAGCTGAACCACCTGGAAGATTTTGTTTCCCTCAATAACACCTGAAAATTCAGAAAATTTCGGGAGCAATGGAAGGAGGCAGATGGGGAGATAAGCAACTCTTCCAACACTGTTCATATGTTTGAAAGCCAATACTTGACTTTTCTTTTTCTTCATAGGCCACATACTGCTCAAAAAATGATCTTCCCCACAGATCCTGAGTTTATATTTTATAGATTAAGCCATTCAGAGAGATTGATTGGCAGTCTTTTCAATCCTGGTTCCAGAATTCCCAGCAAGATAGAAAATTGGTGTTACTGGTTGTTTGGGATATTCCAGATGTTCCTTGGTCTTGGGTATAGCATCTAAGATTAGGACAGTGATCCAGATATACCAAAAGAACCACAAAAAAAAATGGAAAGATGATAGTAAAGGATAGTTTATTAGCAAGGCATGAGGTAGGCAAGTTGGATAATGCCAACTACTGAAATAGGGACAGTATTCCTCAAAGGAGTGAGATGGGCAGTTGGATAAGGGCCAAACACATGGAAGCTGCAGGAAATTGGAATTTTGTCCAATAGGGTGGGGTTACTGAATGGCTTGTGTGAAACTGAGGGTCCTCCCCAAATGGTTTGGCTACTGTGCATGGGTTGCCCAATTTGGGAAGGTATATACTTGTGCATTTGATCCTCTTTGTCCTTCCCAATTTAACTTTGACATGGGGAGTGGAATCTATAGGAAGACTACAGGCCCACTTACCTTAACCACTGATCCCTTCCTGGGTGTGGGCCATTATACTAATCCTTGCTTCAGGGGTAGTCCATTATGTCAATGTGGGCCATTGGTTCCACTGCAAGAGAAGTGCTCTTGGACAGTTCCTCCCTGACTGTGCTAACATTGTTTCTAACAGATATATCAAGAAAATAACATCACATGACGAAAACATAGTTGTTGGGGAGTACCCTAGTAACAGTATGAATTGAAGGCTGTTAACAGGGACCTGGATAAACATTAAAAATTATCTTCTAACCTACCCAAAGATTAGAAATTGAACTCTTGTGTAATTGAAATGGCAGTGTAAATTAAATATACCAGAGTATTTTGGGGCAAAACTGATGTTAAATCTTATGGATGGAATTAATTACACTGGTCATTGAGAAATATCTAAGATTTAAACATACAGACAGACAGTGATGAGTGCAGAGAGACAGAGACAGCTACATAGAAACAAATATGTATACACCCTTCACAGTCACCAAGATCATGACCCAGTTTTTATCTTCACATACCTGGAATATAAATTTTCTTTAAACTTCCTTGCATGCGTACTTACAGTATTATCAGTGTTTATCTTCTTGAATTATGCTTCTTAATGATTTCTAATCTGTTTGAATTTATAGACTCTCTATTCACTGTTATGCTTATTAAAACATTCATACTTTTTTGTCTTCAGTGATATAAATATCTGCATATTTGATCCATCCAATTGAGGATAGATAACCCCATCATACATATCTGTTTTTTCAACTTATTTTCAGTTAAACATATTGCTTATTTTAATAGAAAAAAATTTATTTTAAAGCCTGAAATGTTTGGGCGTTTAAAATACAAATGTATGTAGTATTCTAAGGGCAAATAATTATATTAATCATCATTATATTATATACCTTTTGTCTTCCATATGTAATTTGATTTTTAAATGTAATTCTTTTGTCAAATGATATACCAAAGAATTTTATGAAAGGTACTACAAATTTTATATATGCCTTCAAAAAACGCCAGTCCAACTGAAAACCTCAAACTTAATATTTCAATTTAATTGAATACAGTAAAAATTGTCCTTGTCTTATAAGGAGAGCTGATCAATTAATCCGGGAAGATAAGGATGATGTCATTCCATACTGCATAGCCATTGGCGATGTAAAAAAACTAGTCAACTTTTTTATGTCAAGAGGTCAACTTAAAGAAGCCCTGCTTGTTGCACAGGTACAACCACATAATGTAAACATACTGACCACATACAATGGTGGGTGGAAATGCAGGAGAAAGAAAACTTTATTGATGGGTTTGCCTTCTTATGATTGACAAACCATAGATGGTTTGGATTCTGCTCAGCTTTCCAGCCTTCTGCCTCAACATTCATCATACTATCTTTGTTCTAATCACATTGAACTTATTTTAAATCTTTAACCATAGTCATCCCTGAACACTAAACTTTTCACATAATTTTGACTATTTGTACCAACAATTTGAACAACCTTTTTTAGTAACCAGTTATGTGAAACTTCATATTGGTACTCACAATGGAGTTAGCATTTAATTTCTCTTCAGATTCCAGTGTTATTGTCAAATCAGGGTATAAATTTCAAACATGATTTAAGTATAAATTGCTCAAAACAGCCTGAAGTTGTGTGGTTATTAACAGTTAACTAAAGGTTAATTAATGGCCTAATTGAATTCTAGGCTGCATGTGAAGGAAATATGCAAGTCTTGAATGTTTCTACACCTAAAGGAGCTACATATTCTGATTTCTACAAGGAAGATTTTAATGAGTAAGTAATTAGTTCTTTGAGGTGACTATTCTCTATGAGTGGTTTCTACATGGGAGTTATGGAATACTATGTACTTCATCTTTCTCTGTTCATGGAGGACTTGCTGCTTCATGCTTAGCTGCCTTTCTCACCATGGTCTAGTTCCATGACAGAATCCATCTCTAGATGAATATAAAAACATCAGGCATATTGACACAGCCTACAAACATTTTATAAACTTTCAGAAAAGTGAAAAACATTTCTGTGGAGAGATAGCAATTAATGTACTTAAACACTGAGCAAAACATGTTGGGAAGAATGAGGTGATGAGAAAAACGTATACTGCTGAATAATATTTTACTGAAAAGTCAGTATATGCAATATCCATGTAATGTTTATAATCCCGTGATACTAGCATTAGTATTTAGAATAACATTTGTTCCTTTTTTAAAGAAGGAATACCAGGGAGGGACTTAGCAGATCATATATTTGAGAAGACTGCTTTCTTGACTTCCCCACAGACACCATAAGGCTGACTCCTAAATCTGGAATGTCAAATGAAATTGTTTTCTCACTTAATCACCTTTTAAAAAAGGCATCAGTTCATTTTTATGATGGAATCCTTGTGTTAATATAGAATATGTATTTTTTTTTCTTTCTAGACTGCTACACAAAGTCAGTAAAGAACTGGCAGAATGGTATTTTCAGGATGGTCGAGCTGTTCTAGCTGCGTGTTGCCATCTCGCCATAGATAATATTGAGGTACAACATTTCCAATTGGTGTATGTGACTGAAAAGCTCCTCAGAAGTGTCTTGGTGTTTGAGGGGAGATAAGTCGATCCCTATGTAAGATCTGGCTTTGTATATTTCCAAGCCCAAGTAATTTCATGCTGAATCAGCACACATAAATGCCATAGTCCGTGAGCTCTCGTTTCATTTATTTTTATCACAGCATATATATTTGTAACAACCGTTAGAGTAATTTATCATTGTTATACATTGTTAAGCTTTTAAATATTTGTATTTTTCTGATAGACTGAAGGACACGTTGAGAATATTAAAGAGTATTATTAATTACACCAATAACCACAGAAGTTAAAAAGTCTTAAATTCTGAGCTGGTAAAATTTCCTATATGTCCTATTATCAGCTTTTCCTTACAAATTGCAATTACTGTTAGTAGGTACTTTATAGGAATATGATAATCAATACTTTATAAGAATAATTAATTTATAGGTTAATACTACTTTATCTACTTTATGAGCTTGGAAGGGAATGATGACCCTACCCAGCATCTATGCAACTGAAGAAATTATTTTCTTATTGAGCAAGCTTGCTATGGCATATCTGATTCGTGGAAATGAACTGGAGTTGGCAGTCTGTGTGGGCACTGTACTAGGAGACTCTGCAGCACCTGCAACCCACTATGCCCTAGAATTACTGGCAAGAAAATGCATGATGATTCCAATGTGGTAAGAATTTTTATATTGACAGACTAATTTTATAGTGATGGTATATATGCATTTTAGAAATATTATAAATTGCATTTATTACACCAATAACCACAGAAGTTAAAAAGTCTTAAATTCTGAGTGCGTAAAATTTCCTATTTCCTAATTATCAGCTTTCCTTACAATTGCAATTACTGTTAGTAGGTACTTATAGGAATATGATAATCAATACTTTATAAGAATAATTAATTTATAGGTTAATACACTTTATCACTTTATGAGCTTGGAAGGGAATGATGACCCTACCCAGCATCTATGCAACTGAAGAAATTATTTTTCTTATTGAGCAAGCTTGCTATGGCATATCTGATCGTGGAAATGAACTGAGTTTGGCAGTCTGTGTGGCACTGTACTAGAGACTCTGCAGCACCTGCAACCCACTATGCCCTTGAATTACTGGCAAGAAAATGCATGATGATTCCAATGTGGTAAGAATTTTTATATTGACAGACTAATTTTATAGTGATGGTATATATGCATTTTAGAAATATTATAAATTGCATTTGATGATAAATATGGATTGGAAGAACATAGGATCTTTTTTTAATAAAAGAATGCAATTATGGGAGGAAAGGTGACAGGAAGTGAAGTAATGGTGAGAACTGTAGTTATATAATGAATTCTACCATGATCCCTTTTTAAGTAGTCTAATTGTAATTCTGTAATGTTTCAAGCACTTGAAGTATCACGAGATAACTGTTGTGCACTTCTTAAGATTATCAGGACCACAAATTCCCACATCTTAAAACGTGGCATATCTACCCTTATTCTTGTCAGATCTTGTGTCCTAGTTTTAGGGTTGGAAAACAAAGTCACTTTTCTAAGGGAAAACAATTACAAAAATGGTTTTGCTGAAAAATTAGAATAAATCCTTTCCCTAAACTCTAACAATACTTTTTAAGAGACCCTGAGGTAACTTCGAAATCTAGGTCAAAGCAATTCTCACTCAGATCTGCAGAGGCCTGTTCATGGGTCAGACCATCTGTTATTATGAAAGCAGCAATAGGAAAATGTGATGCTCTCTAATCAATAGATACTTGTTGAGCAAATTCAGAATTTTATTTTTTCTTTCCTCAAAATAATAACAATGATTAGTGACATCTAACTAACACATCTATATGCTTACTATGTGCTAAGCACTATTTTAAGCACTTCATGTGAAGTAAACCAATAGATTCTATGAGGTAGGTATTGGTTTGCCTGGGATCTAATTAAGTGATAGAGCCAAGATTTAAAGCTATGTGAAGTAACTCTAAAGTTTAGATTTATAGCTACCACAATATACTACCCCATTTGTCTGGGGCTAATTTAGAGAAAGAGAAGACTTTCCATTTTCCTTTTTTGTCTGGATCTGATAGTTTAGTAGTTAATCAGTAATTTCATGGTTGTTCTAATTTTTACTCATATCTTACACTGCTGTAAGAGTTTCCTCCCACCACAAAATGGAGTGGCACCCCACCATCAGCTATAGGTTTAAATATATTTAATTCTCACTGCACCTTGAGAGTTCCCAGATATCCTCTGTGAAGAACTGTAATAGTCAATTACATAGTAACTGTGATTTGTCTTAAACCAATCCCAAAGCTCAAATTGTTTCTTACAAAGGTGGCTAATTCCATGCTAAAAGTCAACATCTACTCTAAAAGAAATGTAAACTTTTTAAAAAGTGAAGGTAAAATGTAGCAAATACATATTTTATTAAATGATACTTAAAAGTCTTTCAACTAGTTATGTTTTAGTTACTTTAACTAAAAACAAACTGTTAGTTTATACCTTCTCCCCCAGAGTTCTTCATTTATATATCCAAAGATATGTATGCCAGAAACCAGGATAAAGGTCAAAATCTAAAATATGTACACTGATTAAGTTAATTTCCAAGAGAAATTGGTAATCTTCATGGTTATTAGTAGAATACTATTGATCAAAAATAGGTATATAACTTAAAGAGAATGTTCCTAATTTTATAAATCAAAAATACTTCATGACTTTTACATTTACTAGTAAAAGTTTTCTTCTTCTTGATATTCATAATATCTTTCTGGTATTCATATTCGGTGTTTTCTTTTTTAGCTTTCCATCTATTGGATACAGGTACTATCTTTTAAATGTTATTAAAAATATATTCTGTATTTAACCATTCATATTAAGAAATGTGCATTAACTATTTTTACTTTGTTTCACAATACACTTTCTTTCCAGATCATATGAATCTTTTGCCTTGTTTCACAGTATGCTAATTCATATATCCATAAAACATAAATTAATAGAAAATTAAACCTAAATGCTGAATAATATGAAGAGTTCATATAAACTAGGTACATGACTTCATAATTAAAACATACAATAAATGAACCTCCTATAGTACCAAATAATAGCCAACTCTGCTAAGCAAAAGAAAATACATATTCTGATAGTCAGATTAAGAGTTTAGATAATTTGGTTGGACTATATCATTTTATAAAAGTACACATATTTTTTCTGTAATTGATGGAAGTTTAAATATAGTTTGGGCACAGCTATTTTATACAGTTAAAGCAAATGATAAATCTGTAGGCTTATGGACATTACTTTAAAATGCTATTAAATTTTATACCAGGAATACATAGATATTCACACACTTAGCAAGAACAAATAAACTCGTTTGGAACTTATAAAAATACTAAGAGATTTACCTGACCAATAGTAATATTTCTATTCTAGACCATTTAGAAAGACCTTTGCTGAATTATTAATTTTCTAGGGGGAAATAAAGTGAAAAAAATCATTGTAATTTTTTAGCAATTATCTATTGACATATTATAGAAAATTATTAGTAAAATGTTGAATTACTAAAATATTTCGTGTAGAATTTTGATACCTCACTTTTAAAAACCTTAAAATAACTCTAATATAAAATGTTAGTATTGTAATCACTTGTGTCATGTGTATGTGTGTTTTCTTTAATAAAATTTCTGATTTGACATCAGAAGTTGCAAATTATCTCTGTTGCTATTCTATATTCTCTGTGTTCTTAACCCGCTCTTAGCATATAAAAAATAATTGATTCACATACATAACCAAGTATATTTTACTGAAGTCTTCACAAACAAGATGAAGAAGTGTTTTGCTTCCAAGTCCCTGCTACACAGCTTTATAAATTCTCATTTGAAGTATCACCTGTTTTAAAGTCATACTGACTATATATGAAATTCTCGAAAACTGAATAATACCTCAAATCCCTGAAAATTAGGCATTTGCTTAATATGATGAATATAGTCAAAAACTCCTCACCTAGTGATTTGAAAAAATGGTTTTACAGAAAGTGTTTTAATGTAAACTTCTTATTTTAATGTATAGGAGTCTCCTTTGAAGTAGGCATAAATCTTATTTTTAGATAATTTCTTTAGTGACGTATCTCCTCTTATGATGGGAACAGGAATTTGGCAGCTGATCTTCTCCTGATGACTCCTGATAGTGAACTTCACTTAATAAAACTGTGTGCTTTCTACCCAGGCTGTGTGGAAGAGATAAATGATCTTCATGAAAAGGTATGCTGATATAGTGAAGCTTCCAGTTTAGAATTCAATGCTAAGATTAATTTTAGGTTCAAGCAAAAAGGACATCCATGCAGAAAAAAAAAATGTGGTCCCTTTGGGGTACTTAAAAATTCAGCAAAAATAACTATAAGAGGTAACATTTTTGAGCTTTTGCTGTGTGTTTCACACTGCTCAGAATTTTTACATTTATTTCTAATAATTCATATATAAAACCAGGAAATGTTCTGTTTTACAGAGAAAGTAAAATTTATAGAAGGAAGGAAGTTGACCAGATTTGTTAAAGGTGAAGTAAGAATTTCAACTACTTTTAACTCCAAATGCCAAACCCTTTCTAATGTACCACTTTGCATGAAGGAATATATATGATAGCTTTTTTAAACAGACAAATTAGAATCTTTTTAAAAATTAATGAAATTTAATAAAATTCATATACATTATTCTAAAGTGCTAATAAAATTTGCATTTGCAGACTATAGAAGTCTGTATATCAATATTATATGCAAAAGCAATCAAAATGTTTAAAAACAGTATTGTTTATATAAGCTAGAATACATTTCTATATTTCAGTGCTATTAATCTCAAAAAATCATGAGACTGCTTTCATTGATGTGAGTAGGTGGCTATAAAACAGTTAAGTAGAAAGCAGATCACAGGACATACGTGAAAACATTCCATATAATTCCATTTTGAAAACAATCATGAATGTAAGGAAATGCCTATCATTTCTTTTAAGAAAAAGATAACATATAAGTAGATTCATAGTCAGTGGGTGAGTGTCCCTATTCACCCAACAAATATGTGTATTGAGTATTGTTAATACAGATAGACCAAAAGTGTGTGTGAGTAAAGTGTATATGTAGATGTGTGTACATAGGGGTGTGTATGTGTGTAAGAATAATACTCACTTAATCTTCATTACACATTCCAAAAGGATATAGTTAGACTCTTTGGTTCTTTATTAATGGCTCTTTGGAAATACTAGTGAATATTTATAAAGGTGTTAATAACACCTTTATACACCTTTAGTTCCACTAAAAACCATATCCAAGCATGATATTAATTTACATAATTTTGGGAATTCTAAAGTAGGGCAAGAATTACTCTTCTTGTATTCTATCTGGTAGAAACTTTAGTTGGAACAACTGTCATTCCCTTACTTTGCTAAATCATATATCAAGGTGAAGAAGTTTGTTTATCTAGCCAGGCACATGTACATAGGTCATAGTACTTGCTCAATTAATTATTGGCAATTCATGAATAAAGATGAAGAAACAACATGAAAAGCCATATATGTGATGCCCCACCCTTAATCTTGTTTTTTTTTTGAAAGAGAGAGATCTAAATTATTCAGTCTACCTAGTTTTTAAACAATAAGGAACACAAACTATTGAATAAGTGCATTAATATTTTTTTACCTTTCTTTGCATGTTATTTCATACCAATAAGAAATTTTCCCATTTCCATGTGTTCCATCTTTATTAGCATAATCAGTAGTACAAGGGGGTCTCATTGTGATAAGTCCATAGATGTGTACAGTGTACTTTTAACAAGTTCACCCTTCTATTGTGTTCTTTTTTATTGTGTTCACCCTTCCTTCTCCCCTCCTCCTTTTTCAAATAGTGTTTGATGAGTTTCATTAAGCTATCTTCATATATATGTATATATTTATACACACATTTACATATAGATGTAACATACTTCAATACTTTTCCTTAACCCCTGCCAGTGCTTCTCCACCCCCTCCTCCCACCAATCCCCTTCCAGACAGTCCCCCCTTTACACTCAAATCTCATCATTATTATTATCATTATCATTGTCATTATCATAATTTTAGGCTACATTTCACATATGAGTGAAAACATGCAATATTTGACTTTTTGAGCTTAGATTATCTTGCTCAACTTGATGATCTCCAGTTACATCCACTTTCCTGCAAATGACATAATTTCATTATTCCTTGTGACTGAATAATACTCCATGGTGTATATATACCACATTACCTTTATCCATTCATTGTTTCTTGGGCACATCATCTATAATTATGAACAGTACCACTAGTAAATCTGGGTATTCAGGTTTCTCTCTTATATTTTGATTTACACTCCTCCAGAAATACGCACAAGAGTGGTATGGCAGGGTAATAAGGTAGATCTGTAAACAAGTTTGTAAAAGCATTAAACTGACAGTGTTGCTAAGAAGCAACTTTAGCATAATTAAACTTTAAAAGTCATAAACATTCAGAATTTGACACAAAAGTTCATTTAATGTTTACACATATTATAAAGAAGAACAGCTTACTTGAGAGAGGACCAGACTTGCAGTTTTACCAGGAAATTAAAAAAAATAAATAAGGAGCATTGATTTTCATTTTATAATAAGGAAATTTCATAAACCAAAAATTTCCACTGTGTGGGCATTTCAGAACATCAAATTTTAGAGCGAATGCCTTTTAAGCTTCTTTAAAATAAGAATGGCCTCAGAAGCTAAATGAAGTAATAGGGTAGAAGACATGATGATGCACCTTGTATGTTTGCTACATTTAACGTAGCTTTTGGCAGTGTCAGTATATTTATTCTGAAATAACTGATTTCAGTCATTTTGTTAAATTATATTTGTGGTACTGATTTCAATACTACAACTAGGCAAGTTAATTCTGCTCTTTTATTAAGTATTTATATGATGAAATAGTCTGACTCACTAGCTAATGATCCCATTTGTTATTCTTCAATCTTAATGATATTTCTATAAATTATTTCATTTACTAAATTGCTTTTACATTTATTTGGGGAAATTTCAAAAGTAAAATAGATTTGGTATATGGAATATTTAGTATTTATATCTTTGCTTTTGTCCTATTTAATCATTTCCTAGTGCAAACTCCCCTCGGTAGAAGAATGTATGCAGTTAGCCGAGACAGCATATGCAGATGGCAATGTATTTGAAACTATAAAGTATTACTTGCTAAGTGAAGAACCAGAAAAAGCCCTTCCTGTTGGTATTGACTTTGTCAAAGGTAAGTGTCTAGCTATGGTATAATTTTAAAAACTATTCATTTATTTGATATTTTCATTTGTCTTGATAATCAGCCTTAAAATCGAGGACTAGTGATCCAAACTTTTAAAGATCACTGATTTGAAATAAGGCATCTCTTCTGATTTTGTGATATGGGGACCTGAACCAGTGAATAAAAAATGCTTTTAATCTATAAAATAAAGAGATAGCACTGACTAGCAGGGAATTAATCATGTAACAAAAAATTAAATGAACAAATTTTGATAGTATTATTTAGAAAGTCTCTTACTCGATTTTACTTTGCCAGAATACATCAGTAGTTCAAATTGGACGTTGGATGCAATTTACCCTGTGCTCAACCTATTGAGTTATATTCGTACTGAGAAACTCCTCTTGCATACATGTACTAAGTGAGTACCTTTTCTCCAAAATGCAAAAGGGAATCAATGAAATGTTTTTAAATGGTTGTTTTGGTGTTCCAATCAAGAAATAGATTCCTCTGGGACAGGTAGCTGCACTTGTAGGAAAAAAATACTCTTATTTTGCAATATTCTTAAGAAAAATACAGAGGTCAGCTTGAAATGAATAATAAATATTGTGATGTTATTAGCAATATCTGGTGTGTGCTTGTATATGTGAATATAAACACATACACAGACATACATCCTTGCTCAAAGAAGGCTAATGCAAAATTTTCAGATGGTTTTGGACCTTAACCTCTCAAGAAACAAATGACCATATTTATTAAATATCCATTGTATATAAAACATCATACCAGGCTTAGGGGGAAAAAACACAAGTGCTAGAAAGTAGAAAATAGACACCGTTCTTAAATTCAGGTACCACTTAAGGACATTGTTAACCATATAACTGAAGCCCTTAGAGATATGGGTATAATTTGTAAGAGATGATTTGGAATCTTCATTTTAATATTTACATAGGAAAGGTGATATATATCAGCCTGAGAAACTGGCAAATTCTCCCAGCAGGAAATAGAGTAGATATTTTTCCTACTCGTAGAATCTACGCAGTATGCCACAAATTCCTAAATCTGACCAAAGGAATTAATTAGATAACAATGACATGAAGAAAAAGTCAGGAAGGGACAAAGGTATGAGTCAACAGTAGAGGGAGCACTTGCTTAACTTCTGAGAGGATCTGGTTTCATTGCTCAGCACAGCAAAAAACAAAAACAAAAATAAAGCAGAACAAAACAGAACAGCTTAGGAATAGAAAAAAACAAGCAGCCAAGGGTTAAATAGTATGTAAAAGGTGTGTTTTAAATTATAATTTATGATATAGTAGAAATTTCTGAATAGGAATTATTAGTTGATGAATAAATTATCTCCCTCAAGATTAAACAATTTTCTAAACATATTTTGCTCTAAATGTCACCCATCAGAACTTAGATAGAAGTACATGAACTACGTTTGAGAGTAATGTTCTGTGCTTCAAATTGTGGAATGAAAAAATGCATTCTCTTCTAGAGCTCGAAATGAGTTACTCATATTATGTGGTTACATTGGTGCATTATTGGCCATCAGGAGGCAGTATCAGAGCATTGTTCCAGCACTTTATGAATACACAAGGTAAAAAAATTTTCTTTTGTCATGAATTAGAGAAAATATTTTACTAAGATAGTCTCTAAGTAAATCAAAAGGCCTCAAAGGTATTATTGTAGGAGTTCATTTATTTGCTGCACATGTACTTTATAACAAAAAAGCAATTAACTATGAATTAAGAAGGCATTAAACTTAATAGTGGAAATCCTAATATTAGCTTATGTCTATAGGGTGTATCGTATGTCAGGAGAGTTCAGATAGGCAGTCAGGACCTTTGGAACCACTGATTCCATAGAGGTCCTGGATTCTTCCCTCCTTTTAACTCTGATATTCCTGGCTTCTTTCTTCTTGCATGAGCTGTCCATGATTACAAGATAGATAGCTGCTAGACCTCCATGTGATATGTTTACACTCTTAAGCAGGACAGAGGCAAGGGTAAAAGATAGATACTAAAAAGGTCTTTTTCTAGGCCAAGACCATTTTATTCAAGAAGGAAAGTCCTCCTAAGGTTTCCATGCCTGTATTTCAACTAACCAAAATTATATAGCAGTATTTTTTAAAGAAGATAGGAAACTGGGTATGTTAGCTTTCCAGTCTCTTTGATGGAAATATGCAAAGTAAAGGGTGTGTGTAACAGGTAACCTTTTATTTTATAGTCAAGCTATCACCTACCAGCCAAATTCCTACATTTTCTAACAGTTTTTTGAACTTTTGCCGTTGTGCTTAAAACTTGTTATATTCAATAATAAAAAATTGAAGGCTGAGGAAGGATGATCTTGAATTTGAGACCAGCCAGGGCTATACAGCAAATGCAAAGCCAACCAGTATATAATGAGACCCAGTCTGAAAAGAATAAAAAGAAATAATATTCACAATGTCTTCCATAAAAATTCATTTCTAAGTATTCTAGTTTGCTAAACAGCATAGTGTGTAAACATTTTTTCTTAGTACCCTTTATACAAGATAGAAGTCTATGAGAGAAATAGAAAGCTTTCTTAACTCTAACTTCTCCCTCTGGTGAAGAAGCAGCTGCCACCTAGTGCAGCTGAAGCACTAATACAGAATTAGTAGTGTCTGGTTACTCAAGGAAAATTTGTTGCTATGCCAGCAGCATAAGCAAAAATCAAAAGTAGCATTCAACAGTATTAGTCTATAAGAACATACCACATAGAATTAAAATAATATTTAAAGAAATGATGGAGGGGGCAAGTTCACAAATGAGATATTTGATATTTTGTAAGAACTTTTGTAAGTGCCACAATGTACCCCCAGCACAACAGTAAAAAAAGAGATACATTCAGTTATATGTAGCTTCATTGATGATGAAAGAGACAGAAAATGCTTAAATTAATATCGAGGATCAAGACTGGGTGCCAGTGGCTGACACCTGCAATCCTAGCTACTTGGGAGGCTGAGATTGGGAAGATTGTGGTTCAAGGCAGATAGCTCATAAGACCCCATCCTCACAATAATGGGAGCAAGGACTAGAGATGTGACTCAAGCCGTTAAGAGCACCTGCTTTGCTAAACAGGAAGCAGCTCTTTCCCCAAACCCCAAACCCACAAAATACATATATATATATATACACATATATACATATACATATATACACACATATATATGTACATGTATATTTATATACATATTTACATATAAATAAAACGGCTCTTATTTATAAGGCAGGAGAGACTCGAAAGAATGTGTCTAAAATGAGGGAAATATATTATTTACAAAAGAGAACTTTAAGAAATGTGAACGTTAAAGGTCTTCTCTGCAGATAATTCCATCTAGTTGTATTGTCTTCTTTTGGGGAATATATAATTCCCCAAAGTTTTGTTCTCTTTTCTCCTCTTCTTTCCTGCCCCATATCCCACTCGCCTCCCATGTCTTCACTCCTCTCTGTCCTCCACTCCTTTCTGTACTCCAGAAATTTCATCATTCTTTAGTTTGACCAATCACTTCTATTATTTTATATACAGATGTAACATACGTTCCAAGTTCCTGTGTGTATATATAGCAGTCTGCTAAACCCCAGCCTTAAATTCAGTATTCTTAGAATTAAAATAATCTTTTTTCTCAAATCTCCTCCTCCTTCTTCTTTTAATGGTGCCATTATATTTTTCTTTTTTTTATTGTTTTATTATTCATATGTGCATACAAGGCTTGGGTTATTTCTCCCCCCTGCCCCCACCCCCTCCCTTACCACCCACTCTGCCCCCTCCCTCTCCCCCACACCCCTCAATACCCAGCAGAAACTATTTTGCCCTTATCTCTAATTTTGTTGTAGAGAGAGTATAAGCAATAATAGGAAGGAACAAGGGTTTTTGCTGGTTGAGATAAGGATAGCTATACAGGGAGTTGACTCACATTAATTTCCTGTGCATGTGTGTTACCTTCTAGGTTAATTCTTTTTGATCTAACCTTTTCTCTAGTTCCTGGTCCCCTTTTCCTATTGGCCTCAGTTGCTTTTAAGGTATCTGCTTTAGTTTCTCTGCATTAAGGGCCACAAATGCTTTTATATTTTTCATCTGGGTGTAAATGACTAGGGTCATGTTTTAAGTGTTCTTTTTCACTCTGGTTGTTACTCAACATTGATTGGCTTGTCAACCATTCTCCATACATTGTGCAGTTCATTTATTCATCTACTTACTCAGTCCACTCATCCATTCATTATTTCTTAAGCATTGTGGATTTGCCACAGTTTTAAATGCTAAGTACACAAGTGAAAAAAAATACATATGTATGTCGTATCTTATAGTTATATGTACGTATTTTTGAACAGTAATTGTTACATCTAAAATTGCAGTTTAAAGTTTTTTGCTTTTTCTGATAATCTTAGTTTTTATGTCAGATTTTAATTTCTTTTTCACGTTTCAGTCAGCTATTAAAGCGTCGAGTGGTATCAGTACCCTTAAAAATTGAACATCTTTCTGAAGAATTGGATGCATGGAGAGCTTGCACACAGTCAACCAACCAGTGAGTGAATATGAGATAAAAACTGGAATGCAGAAGTAATTTAATATTACAGACAAAATTGTTGAAAATATGTAGGGTCTCATTATCAATTTAACAGAATAATAAATATCTGGTTAGCATGTATTCAGGAATATTTACGCCTTTTCCTGCCTTTTAAATGATTTTGTTTTTTTCTAACTTAAGTCTAAAGTTGATTTGTCTCCATTTATAAAGAGGAATTAAATAATCATCAGAAACTAAATCTCAGTAATTCTGTGATTTCTACAAAAATGAAAATTTACCATCTGTTGAAAATATAGATCATCTGAAGAATCTCCATATACACCCCCTTCTGATTCACAAAGAATGGTTTATTCAGCTTTACTAAAAAGACTAAAAGAAGAACCACTCAAAGGAATTATTGGACCAGATTATGTGGCAGGATCAAATCTTCCAAGTCACTCTGATAGCCCCATTTCTTGCCTTACGGGACTAAAAATCCAGGTACAATCTAATATTATACATAAATTATGTGTTTTCTTTATTTTTTAAATATTACCTTAAAATAGCATAAATGAGTAAAAGTAGGTAACTGTAAAGAGGTATGGGGCCTGTTAACAAAATACTGCCCTTGGAGCTCTGTGAGAGTATAAATGACTCTTCTTTTTATTTTCTTTTACACTTTTTTATCATCATCATATTACTGTACTGGGGAAAAATTGTGACATCTACAAAACTTCTTACAATATATCATACTTGGATTTACAACCTCCATCATTCTCCTTTAACCATCCTCCCTTTCCCCATGACTCTTTCTCTTTAAAATAATTTCAGAGAGACAGTCTTTCTATTATCATAGAAGCAATTCATGTAATGTATACACTTAGTAACAAATAATATGTATGCTTAATAACAAATGTGCTTTAAAATACACATGGATCATATCCCCAGGGTATTTAAGTAAGAGATACAAAGGGAACAATCAGCAGTTACAAATTATTTTATCACAATAGATTAAATTTGACTTTGTATTCTCCATTTGTGTTGTATAAACACAAAGCAATAAAAATGATTGATTTATAATGTATTATTGCTGTATTTATACATGTTCTTACAATGAGTTACTGAGCTTTCCTCAATTAAAAATGACTGGAAACCGTCATGTGGGATGACTAATTCCCAAAGAATGGTCCCTAATGTACAATCATATGAATGATGATGAATGATGCCAGAGCCTCTCAGTGTAACCCAGAAGTGTAATTATCTTGAAGCAATAGAGATATCTTCATCATCTTGGAGCCAGGACTAGTTATAGTTAATAGGAGACCTCATCAAGTAAATAATGCTGAATACAATGAAGTGCTAATTGAGACTACAGATCAGACTGAAAGACCTCCACCTCTCAGTAATATACATATTTTAATGAATAGATTCTTATATTTCTAATGTAATGTTTAAAAATACATTTCTAATGCTGACATGTCAGGCCAATGAAGAATGTGTTTTTTGACATAAAATAAATGAAATAGCTGAATACTGTTACAAACCTTACCTATACCTTAGTTGCCCACTGCAAGCCAAAATCTTCAGAACACATCAAGTATGCAAAACACAGGGACCATAATTGTATACAACTTTATTATCCATTTATGTTCACAAATAAAAAAACAAAGCAGTAAATCCAATAATTACAATTAAGAGTGAAAAATTAACGTTTGGGAGTATGTCTTTAGTACCACTCACTGCCTGTTATGTAACATTTTAATACTTGGTGTCTCCTGTACTTTTCTCCTCCTCTCAAAGTTTCTTTTCTCAGTCTAGGTTAGCCAAATGACTAGTAGATACCAGCTAACCTCTCTGAACCTATACCTGTGTTTAGGAAAGGGTTTATTAATTATCTCAGATAAACTAACACACATATGTCTGATGTGATGGATTGCTACCCTCCCAGGAAATTTCTGTTTCAACAGGAGACTGATGTGCTCTAGTACCTACTAATGTGAAGCCATCTGCCTGCTACTACAATGGGCTTCCCAATATCTAAAATAATTTGCTGACAGCATGAAATCATAACCAAAAAATATTTTACATTATAACTTTACATTATATATGGGCATATAAACTAATATTCTTTATCTTCTGGATAGAAGGATCAGAGATTCTGGCTTTAATAATTTTCCCAGCTATTTTGGCATATGCCACATGATAAAAATAAATTATATTTAAGTCATTACTAAGCTATATGATTTTTTATAAAATAAGTAAACTTTGTGGCAATTAATAAACAGTATTTGTTTTCATTGATTGTACTACTGTATATAAAGAATACAAACTATAAAATGAAATTATATTTTGACTTAAGGGAATACTAGTATAAAACTAAGATACTTGAAAATGTTGCTGTAAGTTGGTAGCAGTTCAAAACAACAAATTTTTCTCACATTCTTAAGTTTCTTACCAGCATTGACTGAATATCACCAGTGGTTTCTTATTGCAGCAATTATGTTTCTGGAAGTTTAAGACAATATTGCACATTTACAATCTCATTCTCTCTTTCTCAACTTTCACTATGTACAGGGCCCTGTGTACTTCCTTGAAGATGGGAAATCTGCTATTTCACTGAATGATGCTTTGATGTGGGCAAAGGTGAATCCATTCTCACCTTTAGGAACTGGAATACGACTCAATCCATTTTGATAGAAGATTTTTCTCCTTGCTTAATTGTTTTTTTAAAGAGGAACTTTTGTGGGTTAGCATTAACTTGATCTTGGTGTCCAGGAGCCAAAGATTGGGAGAAGGATTGGGCGTTGAGAATAACAGCAAATTTTAATCATTAATGTCAAAAAATAAAATATTTATATAATTTAAAGGAAAACAGAGGTCTCCTTTATAAATTATAATTGTAACATTTAGGAGGAAGATAGATAATATTTAAATTATAAAGAACTAAATAATCTAAAAAGCACTAAGCAATGTAAAAAGGATATGTTTCACAAAGCATTAAAGGTACCATAATATTATATTGTTAGAACATAGAAATATATAAAATAGCACATCACCTAGAATAGCTCTTAACATACAAGTACTCAGTGAATATTTGAATGACTGAATATCTTGAAATATCAAAATGTAAGGTATACGCAACTGATCTTCCAAAAACACCCATATCCTTTATAAAATGCGTAAGTTGCTAATTTTAGCTCACATTTAACAAAAACCTATAGTTATAAGTTTATTAAATGTCAATTAATGGATGCATATCAAAGTACTTTCTATTTTTTAAAATGAAAACACTACCAGTCTTTCATCTGAAGTTCAGTTGTCTAATTATAAAGGGATAAGTTATAGATACCAAAAACGCATAGGGGTGATAAACACAACATGGTTGTAAATATATACATATACAAACATATGTGTGTGTGTGTGTATGTGAGTATTTACATTAGATGAAATTGACATCTTAGAAGACATGGATATTAGTTTTGATTAATGTATTTAATATTACTATTTACATAATAATTTTTAAAGAGTTATATTAACCTTCTTTAAAACATGTGATGAAAATTAGTTTCAAATTAATTTCCATAAGTAAATGAGTTCTTGTTAGAATTTTGAAAACATTATATAAATTTAATTTTTTAATATTTATTAAAAGTGGAAAGCTATGAAAGAGCCTGATGTATGTCTGCAAATATTTCAATTGTACTAGAATTCTGACTTTGAGATTTGTGAAATTGATACCAAGAAAAATAGTACTTTGATACTCAAACAATTTGATACTCATTAAACAATTATTTAGAGAATTTATAATATGTCTGTTTTTATTAGACTAAAAAATGAGCTCATATAACTAAAATAATTGTGGCTTTTATTATGCTTAAACTTATTGCATTTAACATATTTTTAAATCTTCTTAAGCCTCTTAAAGGGGAAACGATACATATTATTTATCCATGTATCACAATTATTGCAATAACCACTCCTAACTCCTCAAAAAGATCACATGTTAAAATTCAATTTTATTAAACAAATAAATGGTAGACAATCCAGTGATGCAGTAGCTAAAATGTATCAGAGATTATTTTTCACTCTTAGTGATAGTTCATAATTCAAACTTTTATCTGTTAATGGAAATATATGTACTAAAACTCTTTCACTTAAAAGTGGTAGTCTAGCGGGGAGGTAACCCAAACAATGTATACACATGTGAGTAAATGTAAAAACGATAAAAAAAAATGGTAGTCTAAATCCTACTGTTACTCTCTTAATTTTGTTTTAAAATAGACTAATAAACCTATTGTGATTTAAATACTTCAAAAGATATTATTAAGCTTAAGTTATAAATATAAAACAATCATTGCCATCTATATTTTAATGAATCGAGAAGATAATATTTTTATAAATAAAATATAAGATTAAAAAAACTCAACACATGACTATAATAGGAGAGTAACTCATTTTCTGTCTAGAATTTAAATTGGATTGATTTGGCTACTATTCTCTTATTCCTTGACTTCTGAGGACTCTATGCCTTAGGTATTAGTTATAAGTATTAATTCTTTATAAAATTATAAATATGTCATTTGACCATGTCAATTTTTATAAATTGTGCCTTAATATTTAAATCAAAAATACTCATTTATAAAATTTTTTTACTGTGAGATTTTATATGCATGAAAACCCAAAAAAGTAATGAGTTTGGTATTTGAAGATATCATATTACCACTAATGTTGAAAAATTATATTACAGCTTTAAGTATGTCTTTAAGAGGAAGACTGATTCTCATTAGACAATGATTTTTAAAGCATTAGAAAAGTATTTTGCTTATAAAAAATTGAGCTGATTACCAAAATTACATCAAAATGAGTTACATCTTGTGTAAATATATAATATTTATGTTAATAAGATAAATGAATATATATGCATATGCATATGTACATTTTTCCATAAAATTGCCCATATGTGTTCAGGAACATGGTTTCATTAGAATAATGACAATATTTGTTGTTCTGTAACAAGAAAGTTTATACTTTTTTGGTTTTAAGTCAGAAGGCATTCTGAATATAGTAAAAGCCTTCACAGATTACTATTAAAAGTCAGTCTTTTGTATCTAGTGGGCAGTAGTAGAGAGAATATGTTTATGGTCAACTCCTAATAAATGAGACATTAGTACCTAAATAATTTAAATACATACTTTCATGTTGAATTTAAATTCTGTATGACTGAGTTACAATATGGCATTCCATTGTCTAGATTTATACATACATATGTATTTCAGGTCCATTAAACCTTAATAAATGCTGCCATTAAAGCCTGACTTGACATAGTTAGCTACTAAGATGGATAGAAGTCTCGTCCTTAAAACCACCATTGAGAATGCACTGTTTCTCCATAAATTCTGAATTCATCGTCAGAGATAGGAATGGCTAACCTGTCTCTCTGATTTGTTATCCTCTGCAGAAAACTAGGGAAATACTTCATTGGATTGTTTGAGGGGCTGATTCTTCACTTACAAAAAGCACTGACTACAACATAGTCTAAGTGTAAAGGGGAAGTGCTTACTCGCTGATGCATACAACACATCAGAGCAGCCTCTGTTCTCATGACAGTGGTCCACCAACTGATTGAAAAGATCCTACTGCTTAAGGCTGCTGTAGCTCCTAGGAAAGTTGATTGCTTTCTTCTGTCAAAAACCCTTTATGAAGTAAACAGTCTTCCTCATGTATGCCTGTAGTGTTGGCTTCTGTTGACACAACCCATTTTCAGACACTTGAATTCACCCACTTTGACCATTCTTAAGAATTCACTATATAATGGAGTCTACACACTATTTCATATTTCCCACAATTTCCATATGTGCCACAGGTGTCTGGGAAATTTTCCATAATCAAGCTATTAGTGATTGCTCTTTCAAGAGATTGAACACAAAACCAAGAGAACAAAAAACATTATTTGACTGTTTACCCAAATGTAATCCTTTTCTATGGAACGTTTTCACAACTATCATAGACTATTTTTAAAACACTTTCCTAAGCACTATATTTTATCAGTTAAAAATATTATTTTTACTGGACTAAACATGGGGGTGTGTGCTTATAACCCCAGCTAGGTGAAGGTAGGAAGATGGCAGCTCCAGGTCATCCCAGACAAAAGTGTGAAGCCCTGAAAAACAAAGTAAAAGCAGAAGGACCGGGAGAGTAGATCATGTGCCCAGCAAGTAGGAGACCCTGACTCAACCTCCAGTACTGCCCCACAACTTATCTTACAATGTCATACTACATATTGTCCCATTAAGTGCATGACAATAGGTACATTACCTATATCTGGTTAAGATGTCACTTGAAGTAGGTAACTTACATAAAACTGGGCTCTGAACACATGCCCAAAAAGTTACCTGAGTCATCAGGGCTCTCTTTCTCTTCCTCAGTATTATCTATCCCAAAATATAAAATTTAATAAGAAAATCTCTGGAGATAGAAATGGTAATATCTGAATCTTTAAAGGAGCAGAAAAACGGTAAGTGTGACTGGAAACTGACATGAATATTGTGGGACTCAGGAGTATTCAGAATATCCATCTTGGAAGTCAAATGCAATCGACTGTTAATGACATAGCACTAAAACATGAATAATTCCAGTTGGAGAAAAAATTGCACTTATTGTAAAATCAGCAAGTATATATGAAAAATAATTAGTCTTTCAGGGTATCAGTCTGCTTTTATTTCCCTTCAATAGAAATATGGAGCATGGCAGCAACAGATAAGAATTTTTAAATAGAACTAAATGCATGGATAAACACCAGACCCAAATTCTAAAGAAAGCATGATCATTCTTCTCTACAACTTATTATCAATAGGAGGGTCACTTATTATTTTTAAATGGTTTAAATTAAGGCTATTTATACAGATAAGCAAGACTTTTTATGAACCAATGTATAATAAAAATCATTCAGAAAAAATTGTTATTAGTGAGTGTGGTATCAGGCCAAGTAGAAGCTCAATTTCTAATGAGAAAAATTACTACATAGTATACTTACTATCCCTACAATATGAAAAAGAACTCTTGCTCATCACCGAGAATTACTTCTAACTCTATCTCTAAAATTCTTTTTGTTCATACTGTACTAATTTACCTGATTTTGTATTTTCAACAGTACCTGGCATGGGCATTGAATCAAATTGAAAGAAAAGTCCTTTAGCCCAATTATGGATCAGACACCACTTTAAGTTATTTATTATTGAAATACATCCAAGACTCAGTCTGCTTTTATTTCCCTTCAATAGAAATATGGAGCATGGCAGCAACAGATAAGAATTTTTAAATAGAACTAAATGCATGGATAAACACCAGACCCAAATTCTAAGGAAAGCATGATCATTCTTCTCTACAACTTATTATCAATAGGAGGGTCACTTATTATTTTTAAATGGTTTAAATTAAGGCTATTTATACAGATGAGCAAGACTTTTTATGAACCAATGTATAATAAAAATCATTCAGAAGAAATTGTTATTAGTGAGTGTGGTATCAGGCAAGTAGAAGCTCAATTTCTAATGAGAAAAATTACTACATAGTATACTTACTATCCCTACAATATGAAAAAGAACTCTTGCTCATCACCGAGAATTACTTCTAACTCTATCTCTAAAATTCTTTTTGTTCATACTGTACTAATTTACCTGATTTTGTATTTTCAACAGTACCTGGCATGGGCATTGAATCAAATTGAAAGAAAAGTCCTTTAGCCCAATTATGGATCAGATACCACTTTAAGTTATTTATTATTGAAATACATCCAAGACTAGGTGATTGTATTGCTCTAGTATGGCAAGAGATGGTGGCATCACTTCTTCAAAGCCATTTGACAGGTGCCTTTCAAGGTTTATTTTCCATGTTTCTGATAGGTTTTGTAATAGAGTCACAATATCTTCCAGATTGCTTCACATGAATTTCTCTATGTGGATTGCCATTACATGTTTTTGCTAGGATATTTAAATAAACAAAATTAAAAACAATTCATGGTTATTAAATATTTATATGCTATCAATATTTGTAATATACCAAATATATTCTGAATGATTGTTAATAGGTTGACCACAGGTTAATTCAAATGTTTAGTAATATTCAAAGCATGCATTATAGCAGTCATGGATAAAAAAAAAAAAAAAAACATCTGAATGTCACCCACCTCCAAAAGTCAACAGCAGTGCCTAAAAATACCCAGGGCTTATTTTGGTGCATCTGATACTGAATATGACTCAACTATTTTTAGATAATGCTTCATAAAACAGCTGAGGCAACAGTGGCATGATTTTGTGCCTTGATCTGGCAAACATACATGATTCATAATACAGTTTCTAGAACTCTGATTACACTGAGGCGTCCACGGTGACAACTCGGATTCTAGGTCACTCAGGTCTAATGTGAGGGCCAGTGACAACTAAGAAGATCTGTATTCCATTGGCACGTAATTCCATAGACACTAGATTTAGGTAAAGAAGTAAAGCAACTTAAGAATTTAAAATGTTTAAAAAGAAAAGGGAACAATCTACTTTACCGTAGTTTTGCCCCACCCTATTTGATAATTAGAAGATGTTCAAACGAACAGCCTGTAATTCAGTGTCATATGTAATCTTAAATGGAAAAATTTAAGTTCCTACAGACTAGTGTTCTTGCCTCTCCTTCTCCTATTAACTTTAAGATTATGGTAACTCACCTGAAATAATTACTCAGCCCTTTTATCAGGAACAACTGAAATCAAATCCATTTAACAAATTTATAAGAAATAATTTAATAGTTAACAAAACTGTTCTCATCCATACAGTTACCAGAGTTGAATTTATATCATTCATTTAAGAGTTCTAGACTAAGAGAACCCATCTGGAACAGGAATGAGAGAAGTAAAATAATAAATGTATATTCATCATCCTATCCTGATCTGCCTTGTCCAGTGAAGACTTCCTTCCATAAACCCATCAACCATTATGAAAAGTAGAGAAAAAGACCATTGGAGTGAAAGAAAAGCATAAATGAGCATCCAGAGAATCATAAGTGAGAGCACTGAGGAAGTAAAATGGGGGAGGAATTATTTTTAGCCCTATGTTATTAAAATTATAAAAGCAAAAATCCATTCTACTTGGAGTTTTGGTCTATAGTAATGATAGCATACAGATTTTATAAGTACTAATGTGAGCTTTTCAACACTCCAAAAAGATGACAGAAATGAGAATTATTATTTAGAAATTCAAATAGCAGTAGGCATCATTGCGGGGGGCGAGGGAGGGTTCTGTATTACATCTGTTTCCTACATAGGAAGGAAGCTATCCCAGCTCCTTCCTGTCTTTTACTTGCAGATCTCAAACCCCTTTCCTATCCCCAGTCAGATCTATTTAGCCATAAGGAGAAAGAAATAAGCAAGTAAAAAAATAATCCACATCCCCTGCAGTCTCCTTCCCATGCCTCTACTCATCATGACCCCCATACTCCATACTCACTCTTCTGCCCTGACATTAACAACCACCCTGCTAGAGTATTTTAGCCCTGAGTATAACTAAGCCAAGAAAAAGGGGATGCATTCCCAGGATCTGAAAGTGAAACCATGGCTACTTTTTTTTATGGCACTATTGTTACTCAGTTCTGTTGGATTCTACCAAGCTAAGTACCAGAGTGATCTACAAGGCCATTGAACAAAGCAAAGTAAATAATGCATAATCCAACAGAGTTTGGAAAACACTTCATTCTTTACTATTTACAATGTATATTAGCATATTAAAGGCTCCGAGAAGTCTTTTGAGTCTTAAAAAAAAAAAGGTATCTGTTGACATTCCTCCATCAGATCTAATATAAACAAGGAACTTTTTCTCTTTGGTGAAATCCCTCCTAATGCTTAAGAAAACATGCTCTTAAGTAGAGATACAGAAACATGTTCTGTAAAGGGCTTGATAGCAAATATTTTTTAGACTTTATTATAGGGCTCATAGATAAAATATAGAACACCCAATTAAATTTGAATTTTATATAAACAATATTTTAAAAAGTATGTCCTAAATATGTCCTCAAAATTATTTATTGCCCTGTGTTATTTGTTAAATCTGGCAACTCTATTTGTGGGTCATAAAAGTCATAGCCAAGGTACAAAATGAGCATGTGAGGCTATGTCCTGTTATTTATGAACACAAAATTGAATTTCATCTGTTTTCATGCATTAGGAAGTAACTTTTGATATATTTTTTCAACCATCAAAAATGTAAAAACCATTCTTCACCTGTGAGCTATAAAAAGCTGTTGATGAGCTGAATTTGTCCCTGGGGCTGTGGTTTGCTGTAATATAAAGGCTTTCTGAACTGATAACATTTGAACAAGTGAAGTAGTTCTAGGTATCCAAGTATCTATTTGTGTCTTAGGACTGACACATTCTCCAACCACCTAAATGAGTTTTGAGCTCTGCCCGCAGCTTCACCTGTTTCAGACTCATTTACTTATGCACAGCTGAGAACTCAGAAGCCTCCAATAGCAGCAAGTGGGGGGAGGAAACTTAGACTATTTGTCCCTCCACCTATCAGGAACCACAGCAGCATGCTAATACCTTGTATTAGACTGAATGTTGGCCTACACTGTTTTAATTCCTTTTAAAACTTTAATTGTGCAAAATTTAAAAAAAAACCCATTTTAACGGAAAAGTTGGGACAAAAACTTACGTAAAACAGGAACTCTTTCCCTTGAAATCCTTGAATTATATCTGCACTCAGAGCCTTGGGCAGGACGATGATTGAGAGTGATTTCTCCCACTGTTGGTTTTACTTCAAACCATTCTATAAAATATAAACACAAAGTTTATTTTTTAAAAGGCTTGTAATGACCATTATCAAAATAAGACTTAATTTTAAAATTAAGCACATTATTTGAGCATCTCTCTTATATTACCAAGTGTACTGTGAATATATAGGCTAACAGCTCCCTCCTTACATTGCTCACAATCTTTGGTCCCCAAAATAGTTACTTAAAAGGAAATATCCTTATGTTCCTATTAAGTTTCTCATTTTGTTTTGTGGTGCTAGGGATTTAACTTAGGGCCTCATACCTGCTTAGAAAAACACTCTACCACTGGAGCCATGCCCCAGTGCTTTCCCTTTAGTGTCTTTTTCAGGTAGGGTCTTGCAATTTTGGCTGGCTCAGCCTTATGCCACAATCCTCCTACCTCCAACTCCTGAGTAGTTGGGACCATAGATGTATGCCACTACACCCAACCCCTTACTAGGTTTTGATTTTATTCAATAACTTACATATAAAATGGTGAATAAATCTTAAGTTTAATTCACTCCAGTGACGTTTTGGAATGAAAATATCTGGGTGCCATCCACCAGATCAAAAACTGATGTATTGCCAGTACTCTAAAACCCTATGCTGTCTCTCCCAGACAGTATCCTTAAAGGCAGACATCATCCTAATTGCTATCCTTGTTTGTTTTACCTTTTATGGTATATCATATAAATATGATATGGCACTTATTTCATTTTGTAAACATGTTTATGCTGTACAATTAATGAAAAACTTATTTCCACATTTCCCATATTTCTTTTTAACTGATCCTAAAAACTGCAGTACTTGGTCAATTTCTCTTTGATCCTAAAGGTCACTTCCTCCCCTACAGCTCATCCTTCACTGAGGCCTGAAGCAAGGTAATTCCAACCCATCAGTCATGTCCTGTGAGAGCTAACAATGTGCAATCAAGAACATCCCTAGAACTATAATTATCACTATTAATTGCTTTGGCAATAGTTGAGAACCTTTTACAATTAGCAGTCCCAAGAATCAATATATGAGATACAGTTCTGTCCAGTACTATTCAAGAATCAGAAAAGATGAGCTGATCATGGCTAAAGAAAAGATGTGTTCAGAAGAAAATAACAGAGATATGGGTTACCTCTGTGCAAAGGTGGAATTTTATATAAAAACAATAATGAGGTCAGATGTGTAGTGTTAAACGTAACCTAACAGATAAACTGCTGGATGAAAAAATTTAATGTGGGGTGGCAGGAAGTGATCAGACTCATATTGTTATAAAGTTCTTATACTTTGGAGTAAAGATACTAATTTTAAACTAAGATTAATATGCATGCTAACATTTCTAGGGTAGCACTGAAAGAGAGTAGAAATTTAAATTTTTTTCAAAGTTAATACCAGAAAAGGCTTTGGAAAAAAATCAGCACAAAAGAAAAAAAAACTGATGAGGATAAGCAAGAAACTGAGAGGGATTGGGGATATAGCTCAGTGGTAGAATGTTTGCGTACCTATCCTTGAATTATTTCTTTACTCACGAGTGAGTTGAGCCATTGATGAGAAGAAATCAAGGAAGAGAAATAAATACATGAGATGGGAGAGTGGAAAGAGTAAGGGAGGAGAAACCCAACATCTCTTGTAACTTTGGAGGGAGGAGTTAAACTCGCTGTTTTTCTGTCCTTTCAGAGACCAGAAAGAAGATGGTTCTTTTCTTCAAAACGTAGAGTTCAAAGGGCAGGGAAATCCTAAGACCTACATCTTCTTCATTTCCTAAATAGTTTGGGTCCCGGGAAAGGAATGAGTACCCTAGGTATCTGGAATCAAGTGAGATAACATTTTAAGACATGAATAGTTTCCTGAGAGAGAGAGAGAGAGAGAGATAAAGGTGGTACCTGCCTGGAATAACTCTTGATGGGAAGAGCTTTGGATTCCTTGACAATTATTTCACTCATCCTTTGGAAAGTTACCATAAATTGTTCCAATCTGCCTCACCATCCACATACCAACAAGGCACTATAAAAGAGATAATACTGACCATACTGTAAATAGCATCTAAAGTGAATTATGCTAATCCAGGCTCTCCCCAAAAGACTTTTATCCTGATTGACTGAAGTATCTCCATCCTCTTGAGTTATTCTACTGGAACTTATTTCCCACAAAAGTTTACATGAATATATTGCAAGCATTTTTCTAAAAAAGTGTCTATACATGATGTTAGCATGTGCTTATGAAAACCACTGCAAGGATAATAAAGCATTCTCCTGCTAACATAAGAGAAGACTTTTTCCCATTTAACTAGTGAAGGTAGAAAGCAAGAATTGGGGTAATTGGGGTCATAGTGTGTCAGGCTTTTCTTTCATCTGTGCTCAAGAATAGCCTCATGAGTTTGAAAGAACTCAGCTGACTGTTTCCTAGGAAAACTCACCTGGATTCAACTTTCTGCTTAATTTTCTCTGCAACATCTGTAAAAGGAAGAGGAACTCTACTTTAAGTTCATTGCTAAGCATATTTGGATTGCTTTTCAATTCTGTTAACCTAATATTATCTTTAATAGACTTGGAAGCTGTAGACCTGGGAACCAGGGGTAAACGCATCTGGTAACTATAGTCTGTGAAATTCACGAAGTCATCCTGAATACTTTTAATCCTGGAAATAAGAAAGAAAATATTATTGACAGGCCACATGTTATTAACGAGATTTATATCATGAAAAATTTTACATTAAATTGTAGTAGAAAATTTTAAATAACTTACTCTCGATGTGTTAATAAGGTGTAAACCTCTTGTATCAATATTTCAGGTACTCCAGCTTTACAGTGAATTGTCCCATGGATTAGTTCTTTAGGTAATTTAAGTTTTTTTCTTGCCAAAAACTTGAATAGTAGAAAGAAAACATTTTCATAAGAAATTTTACAAAAATCACCAATCATTATGAATTTGCTTTAATCCCCGTTTTATATCTCAACTAATTTTCTGATGTTTAATGTCAATTATCAAGAGATAACACATTATTCAGCAAGAAAAAGAACCATTATATCCTACATTAATTGAAGTGAACATGCCCAGTATACTCAATTTTTGTGGTACATACATTACTCATGACATAAACAATTGGAATTTCACCAACTTTCCAATGCATGGGGATAAGCTGCCAACACAGTAGTTTTGTCATTGTATCCTAGCACATGGTCATACACACAAAGTCACACACTCACATGTAGATATGCATGATATTAAAAGTACACCTTTTAAAACAAACTTCTTAGCAAATGATTGCTAATTTACCTTCTCTATCTGTGCCCAATTGTCCAACTTGACTTTTAAAGAGGTTCCATTTTCAAAAGATGATAATTTAAGCTCCAAGGGATAATATATACAGAATATTTCTGCAATCAGGAAGCCATTTGAAAAATCCCTGATCCATAGCAATATAGAAATGAAATACTGCAGTTAATAATACAGTTTGTAAGAATTAGTTTATAATAATAATTACAAAATAAGAGTTTGTGTAAGAGTTTCTATAATTATCCCCAATCTAAAACTCCATACTAAGAGAAAGCATCTTGTAAAATTTGTTTTGTTGGATCATTGCTCTGAGAAGGACCTATCATGACAAGGCATTTTGGTACGTTTATGTACATATCAAAGCTTTGGTGTTCTTTTAACTAATAGAAATTATTAATTTTAACAAAATCCCCAGGTGGTTAACATGCACATTGAAATTTTAGACACATCTTTGTAACAAATACTGAAATTAGTAAACCAGGGTCCTTCCTGCAAAAGATTCATGGTCTTAATTTTTGTGGAATTTAGTTTGCATTCCCAGAGCAAATATTAACATTCAGGATGGAGACAGGTAAGCCACAACTTTTTAAAAATTCCTGATAATGCTCAAACTTTCTAAAAGAGGGTAAACTGATCCACCCTAGAATTCATGCCTAGCGTACCTGAAGAAAGACCTTTAAATATTTAGGAATTTTTGTTGTACCCAAACATTTTATCCTAGTTTAAGTTTACAATTTAAGGATTGGTTGAATAAACAAATGAAGTACTCCATCATAGTTTCCTTGAGCCTGCTTCCTAAATGTTGTGTGTGTGAGTGTTGAGTGGGTAGGATTTAACTGGAACATATCAGGAGAGGCAATCCCAGGCAGAGGGCGTGGACCCCCTGGCTTTTCACTGGGGGTGGGCCTGGCTTGTGTCTGGCACCTGCTGATATTCCTGGGGAAAAAGCTGAGATCCAGGCCCTGGAGCCAGCGCAGAACGGAAGGAGACAGGCGAGAGCTCCTCGGGGGATGCGGATACACCAGACCCTTTTTAGGCTTCCCTCGGATGGGAACTGCGGGCTGTGGCAAAAGTGACGATGACTTGGCGGGGACTGCCGCCGGCACAATCACACACTCTTCTCCTTGGCCGGCGGCAGCCATGGCGCTTTCTGTGTTTCTAAGGCAACAGCAGCGGCGGGGCGGGGCCTTAGCGGGGCGGGGGCGGGGCCTGGCTGCCCTGGGGTTTCTGGCTACAGTGCAGGGAGGGAACCATGGCCTGGGGCAGGGATGTCTGACCTCACTGGGCCTTAGATGGCCTGAACTTCAACCTGGCCAGAGCTTTTAGTTTCAGATGTACTTGGTTTCACTCACAACCAATTAGAGATTTATTTTTTCTTTTATTTCCTGGGTCATAGATTTTGCCTTTCAAATGTGGTTTCTGCCAGGTCAATCAAGCGTTTTGACAAACACTGTGAGAGAGCTCCAGAGGGCAAGGACAGTTTTTGCTTGGGAATTGAAAGTAATGTGGGGGGAAAGTTGTTCAGAATTTTAACATACCTATTTCCCTAATTATTACATCAAGTGTTCATAAGAAGTACATTATATTTGAAAACATTTCCGAGGTTACGTTTTCCCACTTTAGCAATATGTCCTAGCATGCGTGACTCATTCATTCACTCAAGAAATATTTATGGAGTGGCTACCATGCACCAGGAACTGATCTAGACATTTGGAACTTATCAGTAAATTATGCAGAAAAGAAAAATGATTACAGAGTGGGCATGAATAATTATATATTAAGTACTTATGCAAGAAAGTTATTTAAATACTTTAAATATTTTTACAATGTAAATATATTTAATGTGAAATGTGGATACGTATTACACAAGATAAAACATAGAATGGCTCTTCGTGGTGCTACATAATATTTTGTTGATTGCTCATTCATAATTATTAATATAGTAAGCCAATGTGGATTTTTATATGGTTAAACAGGAAAAATAAATACTGTATGCCATGTATATAAATGGAAAAACGCTACCTGTTGAAACTATTCCAGAAATGGGGGAGGGGGATAAGGGATAATGGTGGAGGGGGTGAATTCAAATATAATATATTTGATATATTCTAATAAATTTTGTAAATGTCACAATGTATCCCTACCCAGCACAATGAAAAATAAATTTAAAAAGAAAATCACATTATTAAAAGAAAAGGAAAAACAAAAAAATGAAGCTCTACAAATGTTAGCTCTTTGCCTCATGAATTTTCTCATTAATTATTCATTCATTGAACTTTTTTGAGGAACTGTCCTAAACTATTCACTAGATTTTCACTATCCAATATTATATCCACTTACCATATATGGCTATTTAAATTTTAATTTAAATCAATTTAAATACAGTAAATTCAGTAAAACTGGCTACAGAGCACCTGCTCAATACCCACATGTAGCAGTGGCTATCACATAGCACAGATATAGACAATTCCACCATGCAGGAAGTTCTTTCAATACCTATCTACACAAGAGTATTATTTCTTGGAGCAGCTAAGGTTTGAACTCTGGGCCTCGCACTTGCTAGGCAGGTGCTGTTGCTGCTTGAGCCACTCCACAAGCCAGCATACACAGGAATATTTATGAGATTTAAAGGTATAAACATCGGCAAAAAGATGGCCAATACTGAAAATCTCTCATGCTAAAAGTAGGTTAGGACCAGGAATGAAGCAGTAATTTGGCCTGAGAGAGTTAAAAAGTCCTCTCAGAAGAAGTGACCTTTCAATTAGACTTTAGACAATAGTGTTTTGAATTGATTAAGACACAGACTTTGGAGGACTGGTTCTATCTTTTATTAGCTCGGTGACTTTGGACAAGTTATTTAGGCATTTTTATGTGTAAGATATGGAAATAGGATAAACCTTACAGGGTGGTTTTGAGGATTAAATAAAATGTCAAATATGTGAAGACCCTAGAGTAATATGCAATAGCATGTCATCCATTTGAGTATAAATTTTTGTTTCAAAGATGATTGTGGAAATCTGTTGGGTAAGAGGGAAGGAAACCATTCCACACAGAATGACTGATGTGAGAAAGGCATAGATAAGTGAAAGGTTATTTTTGTTTATTTTTTTAGTGAAATGTCAGGACATAACAAGGAATCCATTATGTTTAGAGAAAATGTCTAAGCATTAATATGAAGAGTAACCCAAGATTTGAGTGGTAATGTTTACAGAGAGTTATAGATTGGGGTTTAATTGTTAAAAGTTTTACTGTGAAATTAGAATTTCTTTCCTGTAATGAATGTGCCAATTGTTAAGGAAACACATTTCTGTTACAAATTCACTATTCTATGCTCTATGATGCTGGAACTCTGAAAAGTGACTTCTCCCTTGCTGAACATTTGGTAAGTTGTGCCAATAGTGGGGACTAAAGAGCCTAGGAGGCCAGAGGAAGAGAGGAAGGATTTTCTGTTTCCAGTTTGCTTACTGTTCATTTCTCTGTCACCACAGCAACAAAGCTTCACCTGGCACAGACAGTTGTTTCCAGTCTGCAATTTTTTTTTCTTTTAGCACACAGCAGGTTTCATCACACTCTCAGAGCTTTTAGCAACCACTGAGAAGTTGCCCTCCTTAGAAGTCTGAAACTCATATTTACTCTCAAATAGCTCCTCTGTGCTACGGAAGCCCTCTTCTGAGAAATACGAGTCTATAGTGCTTTTCCTGCAAGTTCTAGATACTTATAACCTTAGCTTTCTCTATAGAGTTGCTAATTGCTTCAGGAAGCATTTATATCTGTATTAATTTGATAGCCTCATTTTAGTTTTTAAGTTCTTCAAGTCTGTCTACCACTTCCTCATATTAAGTTCTTGGTATTGACTACATGAAGTGGCTTCTTTTTCTCCCAACACAAAACTACATGGTACCTGGAAAAAGGTTTTCCTCTATGGCTATCTCAACAATGTCTTACTAAAGCAGCTAAGAAACTTGCTTCTTCCTGTTCATCAGGTCAAGCAGCAAAATGTCATCAATATGAGGACTATAGCGATGTTAAGACACTCAAAAGTGCAAGAACCTTGATTTGACCTAAAGCAAGATCATGAATCCATACTACTGATTATAGTAGGTAAAATTAAGAAACGCTTTTGGTGGTCCTTTCAGACTGTCATAGAGATGAGCAAGTTCTTTCCTGGTCAATATCAGCATAGCAGTTGCTAGGGACTGTGATGATTTATTCCATTAGATACAAATGGAAATAAAATAAATCTACCAGGATTTACCACATGATTACGCTCACAATCATTTCCTACAATCCATCCAACTTCTGCGCAAGCCAAATGACCATCAAAGTCAACGGCCATTGCTGGTCAATCACCTTAGCCCCATCTTTTTCTCCACTTTAGAACTTTCTGCATGCAGAGAACAAGCCATTCACTGTGCACTGCACTGCTCCACCAGAAGCAGCTTTGCCATTCCAGAGACTTACCTCCAGGCTAACATCTTCCTGATCCTTGAATCCAGTTAGCAGGCTTACCTGCCCTCATACTGAACTATCCTCTCCAATTTACACTATATCCACATTAAAGTGATATTTTGACTTCAATATACATGCTTTCATTTTGTCTTCAATTTGGTCAGAATTTGGTTAGGAAGAGGGGATACAATAACTGGGTCCCTCCAAGATCCCAAAAGTGTTAAATACAGAAAAGAATGTTTAAAACAAGAAAAAAAATAAAGAAAATGCAAAATAAATTATGCACATTTCTTTTATTATGTAAACCTGATGTCTAGCACAAAAACATAATTTCTTTCACTACTTATTCAAGATTCCATAATACTGATTTTTTATGTTTTAAATATTCATTTATTGAATTTTGTCTCTATGTCTATTTTATGACCTATAAATTAACAACACATGAATTAGAAATTCTTAAAATTTTGAGATTTCTATGTCTTTACATTCAGTTATTTTATACTATACCATGGTCACAACTTAAAATTCATTAAGATGGATTAGTTTCATCACGTTACTTAGGACAGGCTTTTATTAGCAAGAAAGCAAGTTTTAATGGAAAACATGTAATACAATATTGTTTAGAAGTTAATAGACTGTTACAGAGAAGTAGAGGACTTTGGGAGTGTTGTAGCCTAATTGTTCCTGTTCGAAAGTCACTGGCCTCCAAAGACTCTTGAAAGTATAATGGTTTGTGGAAGGTGCTTGTCCTTAACCAATTTTTGTTATTTCAAAATACAACAGTGACCTAGCTGGATGTGGTGGCTCATGCCTGTGCAGCTAATGCAGGAGGATCACTTGACAGGGGGAGAACTCGGGACGTGAGGGGGTCTCAAGCCCTCTAGTTGGAGAGTAGTCTGGGCAACATAGTAAGATCTGGTCAAAAAAAAAAAGACAAAACAAAGAAAACAAACCCCCAAACCACCACAAACAAAATACCTGAGTAGATGGCCAGCCCTTAGGTTAAAGCCAGGAAGTAAAAAATTTGACCCGGATTTTCAAGGGATTTCTAAGAAAGGACCTTTCAGGTTTCAAAACCTGCCTTTATTATAACCAGAGTTGAGGTTCAGCCTCTCCTCATTTATTGAAGGACTAGTTGTATTCCTACTCTAGGAACTTTGTCCTTCTTTCCTTTTTCTACTGGGTTGTTGTCTTGTTAGCAATTTCTGGGGGCTTTTGACTGGTCATTTGACTGACCAAACGACAAAGAAAAAATGAGCCCTAGAGAAGTAGCTTATGATTGCCAGGATGAAGACTAAAATCTAGGTACACTGCAGTTTCCATCAGTTCAATTCACATCTACTATTATTATGGTTAAGTGTACTTCTTTCCATGTATTCAAGTTGTAATACTTTGTAAATTGACTTTCTTTCTTTTTCTTTCCCTTCTTTCTTTCTTTCCTTCCTTCCTTTCTCCTTGCTTTCTTTTTCTTTCTTCTTCCATTTTGGAGATTGAACCCAGGGTCTGTGCATGTTAGGCAAGGTCTCTACCACTTGTGCTACACCCCCATATTTTTCATTTCTATTTTGTTTTTGAGACAGGGTCTCACTAACTTTGGGTGGGCTGGCTTTGAACTCTTGATCCTCCTGCCTCTATCTCAGAGTAACTGGAATTACAGTAGCTGGTTTGTAAATTGCTTTCAATACATTAAAATTTTTAACCATCTATTGA